TAGGAGTAGGATATGTGGTAGTAATATATTGCAAGTTCGTTCAGAAATTGGTAGATATATATCAACCAGATATATAATTCGAATATGGTACATAATTAAATTGAATTAACTTATGAATAAATGTTATAAAGTCCATTAAAGCGTTGGAGAAATAGTAAAATGGAACCAGGAAATCCAGTTCTTAAAGAAATGTAATAGAATAAAAAGTAATTAGTAAAATTTGATGGGAGTGCATATAACCCATAGTTGAGTTGCAATGTAGAGCACTTGAGGCTGAAGTAAAAATAGCATAGTACCATAAAGAATATGACTAGTTGGAGGCCGTAACTCCTTGCGTGCGCAAGCGGTGAATGCCTCATTGAGAAAATGACCAGTTGTTAAATATTTGATGTGTTTCAGTTGGTGGCCGTAGTTCCTTGTGGCGGCAAGCGGTGGCTGAGTCTAATGAGAATCTGACCAGTTTGAGGCCGTAGCTCCTTGTGTGGGCAAGCGGTGGCTGAGTCTAATGAGAATTTGACCAGTTTGAGGCCGTAGCTCCTTGTGCGGGCAAGCGGTGGCTGAGTCTAATAAAATCCAGATCTGTTGAGACCGTAGCCATAGTGGGCAAGCGGTGGCATTTTTTAATGTTTTGTTTTAACAGGTATTTCACTAATTAGCTAGGCAGCCGTGTTTGCAGAGATGCTGACTAGTACCTGGTGTGAAAAATTAAGTGATACAACTTAAGGCGGAAAAATATAACAAAGACTGAATTCATGATGTTGAAATGTAATGTGTAGTTGTCAGTGGCAACTTTCATATTTTAAGTATGTAAATTATCTCAAACTAAATTTTATATGATTTTAATTTTATTATATTACCCGATGTTAACTGTTATGATAATATCGAATGAGGCCCTTCGATAACGTTGGATGGCCGAAGTGGCTACGAATACCATCGATAAAATATAAAGTGAATAGTAGGCTTACTAAACTCACGTTCGTTTGACGAAAGTTAGTAATTCGTTTTATGGAAATTGCGCAAGGTTTTACAACAAACTCCCAGAGTCTGTACTCAATTTGCCAGAAAAAGAAATCAAATGTGTCATAAAATATTTTCGTTGTAAAAAAAAAAAAAAAGCTTATTATAAAATTGAAGAATTTATAAATGTCATCATTTATAAATCAGTGTTTCTTAGAAAATATCTCACTTGAAATTCATAGCGCTGTCAATGTTGTCTGATTGAACGGAGATTAAGTGCGTAGCGGTTTTTATGTCGATTGCCGCATGCCTAATCCTTGTTGTTAATTAAATATAAGTAAATCAATATTTATTTAAAAGAGCAACACACAGGTTTCTTGTTTATTCTTCTTGTGATGAATCTGCGTTCCGAATAAGCGATAGATTCAAAAATCTTGACTACTCAAGAGTGCTTATATTAAGTTTATTTGAATAAAGATTATTTCTATTTCACATTAATCTGGAACAGTGGGTTTTGGATTATGTTAAACTGGTGTTGTAAAGAAAATTGAGATCAGTATCTACAATCATTTATAGTCCCCTAAATGTACAGGGTTCAAAGGGTGCAATAGATTACTTGACCAGTGAGCTGATGGTATTATTAAGTAAATCATAACTGAAATTCAATGAATTATGTTATATTAAAATAATTCTCTGGTAAATCAAGAGTATCGTCGAAGTAAAATAGTAGTAGTAGTATTGAGGGTATTAGAACCACCTGTTATTTTCTATTATGTGATATGTTAAATTTATCCGTTAAAATATTCATGATGAGAAATGTCAAGTTCTATTTTGGAGGTATAAAAAAAAAATGCAATGTTCATAAGATCGGAAACTTACGTTGTGATGGTGATATGTTACAGTCTGACTCATCGAAGTCAATCACCGCCAAATAATTGTTTGTTACTCTAAAAGGTTGCTCATGTTTTTGGGTGATTTGGATTATGTAAATTAATATATGTTATGTCATATTTTGTGCATTCTGAATGCATGCCGAAACTTAGCTCTGTTAGTATTGATTTTAGATTGGAAACCTTTTACAGTATACTAAGATAGTCAATGTTATGAAAGTAATGTGTATCTTTAGTTTATTTAGTTTAGTATTTGTTATATGATCCTGTAGACACTATATCCTTTGATAAGCATGACTACGCTCATCAGTTACCTATGTGTCTGGGCCAGACACTATTGCAGGATGGCCGACTGTTAACTAGCGTGTGACGCACCATTAATTAAAAATGGTAAAGTCAATAATCATGTAACCTGAAACGGAACGTCAGAGGCCAGAGCCAAAGTAATCTATGTGACATTGACAAGTGGATGACGGATAATTGAACGGAGGCAGCGGGAGTTTTGGAGCGAAAGTGTTTATATTATTATAAAAACAAATAAGAGATAGATAATTGTGAATATTGTAGGCATTGAGGTGTTTCTCTCCCTGACTAACCGGCATTACGCCTAAGTCGTCAGGATACTAGTGATTTTAAAACAATACTACAGTACCATCATGATATCCAGGGGCGGATCATGAAATTGTGGGGCCCTGGGCTCTACTTAGGAGCCTATCTAATTATATATATATTCTCAACTAAAACAATAGACAGACTAAAAACAAACGAATAGAAATTCCCCGTTCCTTTCGATAGACGCCCACTTGCATGGGTTGATTGATCTCAGGGTTGCCAACCTTATGATGGGTTTTTTAGCATTCTAGATATTTTTTTTATATTCTAAATAAATATTGTTTCTGTGGGGACTGGGGGTCATTTGTATCCTGGGGGCCCTGGGCTGCATGCTGGGCTGCCCAAACAGTCCTTAGATAGATCCGCTCCTGATGATATCCCTGTTGTATAGCCAACACTCTCTTTTGCGACCAGAATTCAATTATTACAGACTTGCGAATTTTACTACATACCATCATCACCTTTTAACATTATCACCTTTTATCATATAGCGTATAAGACCCTATTGATATGACCTCATCGTTATTATACACTCTCGTATTGCCTATTATATTTAAGTGCTCCGGATTAATTATAGTTCTAAAATCTATTTTATTTAAAATCTATTCTATTATTCACACTCATGCGGTGAATAAGACGTCATGTCCGGTGGTTTTCCAGCCCAAAAACTGTTGACTAAATCCTTTTTACTACGTAAAAATAAAGTTAAGTTTATTTCGCGTCACTCGTAGTGGTAAATCCACTTATTCATAGATATTGATTAGATATACCTATTAGGTACTATTACTAGGACAAATGGCTTAATATCGATTTTATACGTTTGTGACCTCCGTCTGTGATACGGTGGTAGCTAAGAAGCTCGATAACTTTGCGGAATTCCAGTGCTTTGCCTTGAATAGAAATGTAGTAGGCAATTAATTGATGGTAAACATCATTACTATACCTACATCAATATAATCAATAATTTGTTAGTAACCATTTTTCTAATCAAATGTTAGTATATAGTATAACTATAATTATAGAACAATAGTTATAATTAGTTAAACTTCTACCTAACAAGTACATAAAAATGCTCTATTATCTGTTTAACAGTCTGTTCATCAATGTTCTCAGAATCTCGTTGGAGCGACCGCCCTTTCTGATAAATAAGGGTGCAGTTTTTTCCTTATCATGGGCTAAAGACTCAAGATTCTATATCTTGCCATAATCGTATACATAAATAATAAATATATTTAGTATCGTAAATATGTGTATAAATTCTAAATGTATTGATGACATGGTGTGACAAAGCAGTGAAATAGTCACTCACTCACTGATTATTATCATAGTCTGTGGTTTTTTTTTTATGGATGATAATGGTATTGTGCTTCCGCCCGCGCTAAGGGTTGACGCTAGCGGGGCACCAGTGGAAGATGATTAGATGACCATGAGGTCAGGTCAGTTAGCCCATCGTGACAAATTCACTAAGAATTTATCACGATAGTTTCCAGGGGGACCGCGTGGAGGTCAAATTAACTTGGTATATTGCTAGCAATACGATCATCAGTTCATATTACTAACAATCTTCTTCCCCCCTCAGTGTGGTTATTTTTTTTTGTGGATGATAATGGAATGGTGCACCCGCCTGCGCTAACGGTTTACGCTGGCGGGGCACCAGTGGAAGATGATTAGATGACCATGAGGTCAGGTCAGTTAGCCCATCGTGACAAATTCACTAAGAATTTCTCACGATGGTTTCCAGGGGGACCGCGTGGAGGTCAAATTGACTTGGTATATTGCTAGCAATACTATTGTTGGGTTTTGTAATAATGGCTTGATTTTAAAAACTCCCGCCCACCTGTACTCGAACAAACTCGAGAGTTTACGCATGCGGCCGCATGCGCACTGAGCGCCACTGTCGCTTGAACATCAAGATCGAGAACGCGGCTGCGAGTGCTTTGTCTCAATTATTAATTCAAATAGCAAATTAAAGTGAACAAAACTAAGGACTTCACTGTGTAAACTATTCAATAACATCAGACAGTGTTAGTGTGTGTATAAATACGAGTCCCGGGACATGCACCAGGTGGTGAAATAATTCGGTGAGTCGCCATCATTATCAAGCCATTTTTCAATATTTTTAAAAACTGAGCATTTCGAACATTTTGGTCCTTCGAGCCGGATTTGACCAGTTACGAAATCAATACAACTAAATATATACTTATTTACACGTATTTATTGGTCTACATTAGGTAAATACACATATTTAATAGGTTTTGGTTATAATATAAAACCGGTAAATAACCAACCTTATTGTTGAAAAGTTATTCGCTTATATCTCAGTTAATACATAAGTTATAAGTGTGAGACCTCGTTAAAACCCATTGTTATAAAGTATATAACCTAATCCAATATAAAATTCCGTTCCAAACGTAGTAATTCATCATATTAATTTCATATTTATTTGCGTAAAATTGATCACGACATACAGCCGCCATTGCGTTTTGTCTTGCGTTGTGCTATTGACCTACAATAAATCAAGTAAAATAAACGTTCATAAAAATGCCCCCTAAACTTGACGGTGAATCCACCAAGGAGGATTATGATAAGTTGGTGCAACCACATATTACTGCAAAAGAGATGTGTTTCTTGAGATTGCAATCTTTATATCAGATTTCAAAAAATGTTCGAGACAAACCTGAGTTGACAAACGAATTTAATGTTCGTTGTACTGAAATGTCATCATGGCGGGAAAAGTTCGAACATAGTATTCTCAATATTACAGTTTTGAAAAAGAAATTCTTTCCAGATTATGTTCCCTCATACAAAGAGATAGCTAGTTTTGACGAGATATATTTTTTCATTCGTAGTGTTGCCGATAGTTTGATTAAAAAAAATACTACAAATAATACACAATCCAGCGATGCTGTTAGTGCTTGTGTTAAACCTAGGCTACCCAAACTGGAGATTTTTCCTTTTGACAGCCGATTGGAAAGTTGGCCGACCTTTAGGGATACCTACTCTAGACTAATTCACAATAACAAAGACATAGCAAATATTGAGAAATTTTACTATCTGTTGTCAGCTGTCAGTGGTTATGCGTTGACGATTGTTAAGTCGATGCCGGTTACATCGGACAATTATGAGATAGTTTGGAGCGCGTTGGTTAAACGGTACGAGAATAAACGGGCATTGGCAACTACTTATCTAGATAATATTTTCAAATTTAAACCATTAGTAAATGAATCAGTCACTGGACTTAATAGTTTCTTACAGACGTTTCAAGAAAATATTAAGGCACTTCAGTTACTTGATATTACCGACTTGTCAGGATTTATGTTATTTTATGTTGCTTTGCGTAATCTCGACTCCGTGACCAGGCGTGAGTTGGAGCGTGAATTGGAGCAGGACGAAATACCTACTGTTAGTGATTTAATTATATTTATAGAAAAGCAAGTGCGCGTTCTCGAGATGTCAATGAGTGCTACAAATTCCACTACTACTAGAAGTGTAACGTACTCAAAAAGCCAGTCAAAGGTCAATGACCCTTATAATTCAAATAATTCAAATTTACGACGTACAAGGCCTTCCTTGTCGTCAGCTGTTGTCAATACAAATCACTCTGTAAAATCTAATAAATCCATTGAGTGTTTGTATTGCAAAAAGATGCATTCTATATATCGATGTATCGACTACAACGACCTGACTCCGATGCAGCGTCTCGACAAAATTAAACAAATGAATCTGTGTGAAAATTGTTTACGAGAGCATGTTGTTGACGACTGTCCATCTAAGGTACGTTGTACGATCTGCAAGAAAAAGCATCATCATACTTTGCACATTGATTCTGTTGCAAGTTCGAATCCTAGTGCGGTTACATTGACATGTTCAGCGGACTTGACTGTCTTGCTCGGCACCGCAGTTATACACGTCGCAGATTGTTGGGGCCAGTACCAACCCGTACGTGCTATAATAGATAGCGGCGCTATGTCGAGCTACATAACTCAAGACTGTATCAAGCGCCTCGGACTGTCGAGACGTAAATGTAATTTTAAACCTAGCGGTCTAGGTGGTAACCCCGTACGCGAATATGGTTTAAGTACATGTAAAATTAAGCCGCTACACGGTACCGGTCCTATCTTGTCAACCGATGCGGTTATCGTTTCAGCTATTACAGGTAACTTACCTACGGTGCACCTCCCTCAGAGGACTGTTGTGGAGTTTCAGCACTTAACGTTAGCTGATCCGTATTTTTATAAACCTGCGCCAGTCGAGTTATTAATTGCTAGTGATCTATTTCCTTATATCTACAATGGCGATAAGATATTTTCTCGTTACCAAGGGATGCCTGTCGCGATGGGTTCCATATTTGGATATATTATATTGGGACAGGTTGAGCTTAATCATACGGATACTGTCAGGGACGGAGAACTGCCTGCTGACTCCAGTCGGAGTGGTACGTTTTGCGGACTTTCCATAAATCTCGATCAAATAATGCACTCCTTTTGGGAAGTTGAGAATATGCCGACTGATACACCTCTCCGTAGTCCAGAGGAGGAATTAGCAGAGAGTCTATTCCTGAAAGACTATCGACGCGACGACTCGGGTAGATATGTAGTCAAGTATCCGTTTCGTCCCTCGGTTGAATTAGGCGACTCGAGTCAAATGGCAACTCGTCGATTTCATAACTTGGAATTGAAACTGAAACGAGATCCTGAGTTGAAAGTTCAGTATCATAAATTTATGCGCGAGTATGAGGATCTCGGTCATATGACTTGTCTTGGTGATGTCCAGAACGTGGATTCGAAATATATCATCCCGCATTTTTGCATCATCAAGCCAACAAGCACCACGACATCTCATCGCGTAGCATTTGATGCTTCTGGCAAGACTTCAAATAATAACTCGCTGAATGATTTGGTGTTACCGGGTCCTAAACTTCAAGCTGACATTGTAGAACTATTAATAAATTTTCGTCTTCATGAAATATGTCTCTCTGCAGATGTTTGTAAAATGTATAGGATGATAACTCTCGATGAGAGTCAACGTCCGTATCAACATATTTTATGGCGTTACTCTTTAGATCAACCTATACAAATATATCAGTTGAATACATTGACATATGGCGTTGCTAGTTGTCCATATTTAGCTATTAAAGTACTTCATACTTTAGCGCATGACGAAGTAGAGCGATTTCCGTTAGCTTCACCCATTTTAAAACGGGCCTTTTTTATGGATGATTTGCTTTGGTCTGTAGCTACCGTCAGAGAGGCGATAGCGCTTCAGACGGACCTAATTAATCTCTTGAAGGCTGGTGGTTTTATACTCCGAAAATGGTCGAGCAATTGTCCTGAAGTCGTGGAGCACCTGGATGAGGCTCATCGCGAAACGCCAGTTGCATTCGATGATGATACCAACATGTCTATCAAGGTGTTGGGACTTCAATGGTTGCCAGCGAGTGATATGTTCACATTCGCTACTACTTCGCCTAATCCTGTCATTTCAAAACGAACAGTCTTGTCCCAGATTGGTCGACTATTTGATCCCTAGGTTTTGCGGCTCCGTGTGTTTTTTATGCAAAGTGCTTCATGCAGGAACTATGGGCTCGACAATTAGGTTGGGATCAAACCTTACCTTTTGACCTTGAAGCTCGATGGCGGACATATGTCAATGAATTATCATTATTATCAAAATTAAAACATGATCGCCATATCAAGGTATCTCGCTATAATTATTGTCAGATTCTAGGTTTTTGCGATGCCTCGACTCTTGGTTATGCCGCGGTTGTTTATATTCGATCCAATAACGCAGATGGTGAAAGTAAAAACAGTCTAGTTATTGCTAAATCTAAGGTCGCGCCCTTAAAGACTGTTACCATACCCCGTCTGGAGCTAATGGCTGCTCATTTGTTGGCTAAATTAGTAAAGTATACCCAGTCAATTCTACATGGTCGATTAACAGTTAATGACACCTTGTTGTTTACCGATTCTTCCGTTGTATTGTCATGGCTCAACACGCCATGCCAAAGTCTCAAAACTTTTGTTTCAACTAGGGTGTCCAAAATTAATGATAGTGTACCTAGTCAATGCTGGCATCATGTGAGTGGTGCTTCTAACCCAGCTGATATTTGTTCTCGCGGTGCCTTACCATCAGCATTAATTGTTATGCATGAATGGCTTAACGGGCCTGACTGGCTTAATCTGGACCCATCACAGTGGCCTATTAAGACTATTGATGAATTTCGTGATGTTAATCCACCTGAACTTAAGAGTACAAAAATGCCAGTACTTATTACCACAGAACCTGACTCAGATAATTTAATTTATAGTCTTACGGAAAGGTATTCAAATTTTGTTAAATTGGTCAATATTGTAGCAAGATGCTATCTTTTTATTGATAACTGCAAATCCACTGCTTCGAAAAGATCACTTTCAATTGCTGACATTAGGAAAGCACATGACAGCTTGATAAAAGCCGTTCAGACACGTCATTTTTCAAACGATATTTCGTCTTTATCAAAGGGTGGTCTTTGTAATCATTCGTTAAGAAAGCTCAACCCCTTCGTAGATTCCAGTCAATTCCTCAGGGTGGGGGGTCGACTTTCTCAATCAAATTTAAGTTATCCGAAGAAGCATCCGTTACTTCTGCCAAAGAGTACAAATTTTACTAAAATTCTTATTGATTATTATCATAAAATTTATTTACATGTGGGTCCTCGAACTCTTCAAAGTTTGATTACTCAAAAATATTGGATCGTTTCAGCACGTAGCGCTATTCGATCACGCACAGTCAAATATAGCCTGTTTTAAATAGCCTGTTTTAGGGTGTCTCCTACAAATCGACAGCCTATAATGGGTGATTTACCTAAATATCGCTCTCAAGATGTTCATGTATTTCATACAGTAGGTATAGACATAGGCGGACCTTTTCTTATTAAGGAATCCACCCGTAAGAATGCTCGCACATCGAAGTGTTATTTGTGCGTTTTCGTTTGTTGTTCCACACGTGCGGTACACTTGGAAGTCTTGTCTTCTCTTAGTACAGAGTGCTTTCTCGCATGCTTTGACCGCTTCACGGCAAGACGAGGCCTTTGTAATTCTATAGTGTCAGATAATGGCACTAATTTTATATCTGCTGGAAAACAACTGAAAGAGGTTACAGATTTCCTTAATAAAAATTCGAATAGTCTGTCAGATGGGGTTCTATTTCGAGGTGTAAAATGGAGATATAATCCCCCAGCTGGAAGTAACTTTGGAGGTCTTTATGAATCCGTGATCAAGCAGGCAAAATTGCATTTGAAACGATCTATAGGCACTCGCGCTCTGTCGTTTGAAGAACTCAGTACACTCTTTTCTCGTGTCGAAGCAGTCCTTAACTCAAGGCCCCTCTGTGCCTTGTCTAGCGACCCCAATGAGTTTGAGGTGCTGACTCCCTCTCATTTTCTTATAGGTCGGGAACTCTTGACAGTCCCCGAGTATAATATTACAGATTTGTCTGCCTCTTATCTGAACCGTTGGCAGTTGGTCCAACAACTGTCACAGCAGTTTTGGAAGCTCTGGAGACAAGATTACTTGCATACTTTACAACATCGTCAAAAGTGGTTTACCAACTGTCGTAATCTGAATATCGGTGATCTTGTACTTATAAATTCCGATGCACCATCACTGAAATGGTCATTGGGTCGCGTTTCAAAATTACATAAAGGTCCTGATGGCATAGTACGTGTGATCACTATACGTACAGCTAATAATCACGAGTTTACACGTCCGGTTTCTAAAGTAAGTCCACTTCCATTGGATCAGGATGCAGATTAACAATACTTATAATAAAAAAAAAAAAAATACAATATATTTTATAAATTTTATACAGTCCACTTATCTCTAAGTATATCTATATATTCAATATTTTTAACACTGATATCTATACGCATTTATTTACTTATATCACATACCTATTAGGGACTTTATTAAACTAATTCAAGTTCCACTTGGTATCGTAACTGGGAAATCCTGGCGGATTTCGGTGGGGGGAAATGTTGGGTTTTGTAATAATGGCTTGATTTTAAAAACTCCCGCCCACCTGTACTCGAACAAACTCGAGAGTTTACGCATGCGGCCGCATGCGCACTGAGCGCCACTGTCGCTTGAACATCAAGATCGAGAACGCGGCTGCGAGTGCTTTGTCTCAATTATTAATTCAAATAGCAAATTAAAGTGAACAAAACTAAGGACTTCACTGTGTAAACTATTCAATAACATCAGACAGTGTTAGTGTGTGTATAAATACGAGTCCCGGGACATGCACCAGGTGGTAAAATAATTCGGTGAGTCGCCATCATTATCAAGCCATTTTTCAATATTTTTAAAAACTGAGCATATCGAACAACGATCATCAGTTCATATTACTAACAATCCCCTTCCCCCCTCAGTCTGCGGTTAAAGTCACCGTAGAATCCATCCTTCAATAAATAAACAATAACTTCAACAAACGACAGGGTAGAGGAGATTGCTAGTAATGGGGACTAAAGACTCCACTGTTAATAAAATACCAATTTAAGTCGAGTCCACGCGATCTCATCTGGAAATCATCATTGTTAGTTAATTCCTGATAAATGCATATAACGCACGATTCCTAACTAACTTGACTTCATTCATCAAATAAAGTCAAATTAGGTGGTACAATATGTCCTACCATCCTCCAATCAACGTTAATAAAACAGGCCGAATGCACCAATCCATTATCACTTATTTAAAAACAAAATGTACTTTAAAGCCTGATAAATCTGGCTGGACGTATACTTGCGCATGGGATTAATTAAATATTTATCTCTATTCTATTTTGCGATATACCTACATTGATAATATTAAATTATTAGATTTGATTTATATTTAAAATTATCAGAGTGGTTGTCATTATGATAAAATACATAACGGATTACACGTTTTCATTAATTAGTCGATAATATACGAATAGTTCTATTAAATTGCAAGACTCGTAACAATCACCCTAGGGAACCCTACCCATACCTACTATCAAATATAATATTTACTAATATTCAAAGTGCTGTAGAAATATGTAGTAAAACTATAAACATAAAAACTATTTATGACTGGAAAAATACCATGGTAGAGAGAGAGAGTGTGACATAATAAAAATATAATTTTGATTAAAGAATACAAGAAAACTTAGTAACCATTGTTCTAATCAAATGTTAAACACATACACACATACATTATACATATTAATTAGTAAAGAAAATAGTTTAAATATATTCTGTACTGATATAGAAAATAGTATGAAATCTACTATTATTATCATTATAAAAATAATTGTCTCGCCTTATTTTTAATTAACTTTACATATTAGTTGTAACATATCCCCCGATTAGTAAGGAATATTTCAGAACAAAATTTATGATAATTCTGTTATGTTTCTCATATTTATTATTTGTCACAGTAAAATACATGTTTAAATAAGTAAAGCACAATGAATGTGAACTATTTATCAGAAAAGCAAAAATGATACTTCATTCTCTAAAATAAGGTGACAACCCTACTTACAATCTTTAAATTAAACTTCCTTTTATCAAAATATTACTTTATTTTAGTTGCAATCGTCTAGGTTACGTTGTCTTCCATTATGCTGTTTTGACTGCAGCGTTGAATTTATCTTGATTTCGATAACGTATGCAATTACTATAAATACAAAGTGTATTTATAGTAATTGTATACTTTATCGGATGCATGTAGGTAGGTAGGTATTCAAGCAATATAAATATGGAATAAGTTTATTTTTTATTAAAAATTGTTTAAGACATTTACGTTCTCAAGATTATATTGATAACGAATTAATACATCAATTGATATCAAACATTTAATCAATTAAATGTTACTTAAAAATTCGTTTATATAAAGAATCTGAATATTAGTTTGTTAATATGTTACTTATTAACGTCTTCTATAGCTCAATGAATTGTCATAGAATTGTACATATAGCAATTATGATTTATTATATACGTTTCTTTTATTATATTATACGTCTTATACTTGCATTATACAATACGCTTATGTGGTGGACTATTGTAATACATTTAGAACGTCGCCATACAAGGCATGAAATGACGGTTCGGCCCCTGAGTGTCAACACAAAGACCTTACAAGTCCATGTCACAATTCACTAAAATTATTGTTGTCTAGAAAACAAAGACGGGAATAAAAACTAGTACAAAATTAAAATGTTTTTGAGAACAGAAATAAAAGGAATTAATTATAAAGTATTCATTTATATTTGTAACTCTTAGCTGTACATATATATGTATGTATAATAATAAATAATCCTAGACAATTAACAACTGAATAAAAGTACATCAGAATGCATTAATATCGTCCATAAATTACGCCACACGTTTAGGAGATAAGAGGGTTTTCTCAAAGTGTGACAAAGAGTGACAAGTGAGGTACAATAGCTCTCTAAAATCTTCAAGTTTACATTACTTAATTATATATATTATTATCACTTATTAAAACTAGCTGTTGATATGTTTGAATAAACAAAAATAAATGTTTGTATTGTTCAGGTATCGAACCGACGATTCTTAATCAAGTTGTATGCCTGTCACATCACTGATCCACTGGAGGTAGAGCTGCACGCGGGTAAATACTGATGGTACATTACCGTTGCACCCGGTGTTGCTCATAAACGATGCCACTCCGATCTGCATTAAAAGTTATATTTTGTAAAATAAACTGTCCCATTGGGTGGGACCGGTGATACAGTACCGGATCGTCCCAATTTTATTCACATATTAATATACATATTAATTAGTAAAGAAAATAGTTTAAGTAATTATTGCTAAAAAATGGAGTATTGTTATCTGAAAATATATTATTATTATTATATTTAGAAGAGTCTACCTTTTCTTCTATTGTTCAATTATCTTTACAATGATGCAATTATTAAATATAGGCCATGCTATGCGCTAGTAAAGGTCCTTTCTATAAATGAACGTGAATTGATTTAGTATTTTTAGTGTTTTTATTGCAAAATTTAAACTCAAATCTTTAACCTTTATAATATTAGATGAAATAAACATATAATTTTGATTACCAAAAATGTTGTTATATAAAAGAATAACAAAAGTAGTCTATCCTGATCGGGTTAGACCTGCTATCTGCAAGAGAAATGAAGGGTCTATAAAACCAGCGTTTGACTAATTAAGTGTATAAAGAAAAGATGAGTAGATATACAATAATTTAAAGAAGTATAATACTTCGCACTCACCAGTATCGTTTCTGCATCTTCTTGGTCCCAGTGCAATTTGAATTCAATAGTCATTGGACCACCATTGTCACCCTGGAAAAAACTCAAAATTAATTTAAAACTTTAATTAATTAATTAAATAACCCGCACTGTCGTTTACTATTAGACCTAATGGAAATTACTGGCAGTTTTGTATATTCGTTTATTGGTCCAAATTTCAAATATGAGTTTTATTTTTATACAATTTGTTTTAGATCACTTTTGTCACTGCGCTATTATAAACGTTTACAAGCATGTACCTTTATTTTCATTTATTATTACAGGTTATGGGCCCAGTTGTCGTTTCATGTACTATTGTACGTACGATATAGTGGACCTATATAAAAACTTTGCTTTTATCAATGTGTTTTATTGACGTACCATCTATAAGTGGTAGAAGTATTACCTATATATGCATATATAACTGTACCATGTACTGACACCCATAATACTGCTTGGCGTTACCCTTCCAGAATACTAACGCAAGACAGCCTCCATAGCCTGTTTTTCACTACCCTTTTTTATACTACTTTGGCGGCAAGTAGCATATTACCCATCTGGTGCTAAACGGCCTATGTACACTTGAAACACCAGGGGTGTAACGAGCGCGTCAACCCTTCGACTGCTTAATTCATGTTGCTTGACAACAGAAATGAGTGAGACAGATGTTCCCACGCGGATGACTTTCATCAAAGTCTACTTCGGTAGATATAATTTGACGAGTATATTTTTATAGTATAGGAGTCCAATGAGGTTGCACGTCTGATTGATGATCGCTGTCCATGGGCACCCCTTAGATCAGGAACCATTGGCCTCCAAAGACCTGAGGAATTGCAAGTGGGTACCTGCAATTCCCCTGGTCTTTAGGGGCTGGCCGGCCCTTGATATCACCTGCTTAATAATAAACAACATGAATACCTTACAAGTTCCTGTATCCGAGCTACCACAAACAATACTTGAAGGCAGCTGGTTGAAATACGAAACATTGCATGCACTATTCGGTATCACCGTCATCAATTTTTCCCGAAGTATCGGAGCCACGAATGATACACCTGTAATATATAACTGTTTTTAAGACATTCTACATTTTAATTAATAAGAGAGTTGTTTTGTAGTGAAATATAAGTTCTAGCAGTTGCCTGTGGATGTTGTGGTTTATTTGAAATTTTCATAAACCCTTTCATGGCTGATTCGTACATTAAAGAATATACCTCTTTGTGCGTTGATGCGTCCAAAGTTATAAACATATAGTCAGCCAATTTTTGTTTTATTCTTTATTGTACAAAAACACGTGTACAAAAGGTGAGCCATAATTAACTAATTAATTAATTCCATATGGCATTCAATTATATGAGTACATTTAATTAGAAAAATAATGCAATGTAACGCATGTATACGTAAGCGTGGGCACTTTTCGGTTCACCAGTGGATGATTATAGGATGAGCATAAAGTGAGGTGAGTTATTCCTTCGTGACAAATTTAGCAGCAAATAATCACGACTAATAACAAACGGGACCATTTCGAGAACTACTTGACATGGTACATAATTATGGGACTAGTAATTCCCATTAATAACTATACAATAATAATAATCTCAGGACAATTCACACAGCGCCATCAAAACCCAATTGAAGCTAGCTAAAGCTTGTGTTATGGGTACTAGATAACTGATACAAATACATAGATATTTTTTTTCATAAATACATACATATTATACATAGAAAACACCTAGAACGACACAAGCAATCATAGTCATGAGTAAAAATGTTTGTGCCGTGCGGGGAATCGAACCTGCGACCATCGGAAATAGGCCGTGAGGAAGAGGCCGTCAAAACAAACTATGCCCTTCCAATCTTTGTTTATTAATTAGTATATTTAATAATATAACAAATAGTTGATACTACAAGTAAATACGTACTTTCAGCAACAATACCCCAACCAGAGATAGTACCTGCCATCCCGGCGAAGTTGTACTGTTCTGTATGTAGGTACGGCAAACGAACTATGTCTATGGTATCTGAAAACACATCACAAATAATTTTAATCCTCATTTTCTCGTTGTTACTATTCTATACAATTCTGACTAATTTATAACTTAACAAAATATGGAATCCCAATCGTTATTGGATATCTTCTATTTAACCTAAAGTATATATACCTACGAGTGTCTATTAGACACACAATACATATTAAATATAAATCTAAATATCTAGTTAATACAGTATAAAGGTTTTGAATGAAATTGGCAGACATACCTACTATATTTTACCTGTTTGATTAGTAATAAAAATATTGTACTTCATAATTAGGTACAATATTTTTTTAGATAATACAACAGAATGAAATTATATTTATTAAAATAAGGAGATTCTAAAATAAATTGCTTGAACTGAACTAGAGATCCTCTTGATATTTTTTGTTGATAGTTGCCTTACAAAATATCTTCATTGTAGAGCGTTTTGTATGGAAAAGCGTCCAGTGCATATCGTCAACAGAAATTGATACAAATTGTAATTTATTTGAGTGGATTCTGTCTGAATACTTATCTCGGCTCTACACGAACACATCCTGTAGTGTATGTGGAAACACTAGCAGTTTATTATCTATCGTCTCGAGCCGAGCGTACACGTACCGCCGTGCGCAAGAGGGAAGGGATTCCCTGCGCAAGCGCCGCGGAGTAAAGACGTGGAGCTATGGCTAACGAGCCGATATTACGTCGATAACAACTTACATACAAGAAGACATAAATAACAAATAAGTGAACACTACATGTGGCGACGAGGCAAAATGGATATAAATAAAGATAAGTACAAAATCATTTAATAAGATATACATATACCTACGGGTACGGAGTAATTACAAATTTAGAAGGATTATGGTGGGGCCGCACGGGGAGCGAATTATATAGACCTATACAGAAAAAACAATAGCTGGGTAACATCGGTTTACGATCGATTTGCGCCAAGTAAGTAGGTACCTAATTATAAATTGTACTTGCTATACCTATAGTGTCTCTAGCTGGTAGGAATAGTCGTATTAATAATCATTGTAGTGATATGTTTACGTATATCCGTGATTTATTATTTTTAATGTATGATAATGGTGTACTGCCTGCGCTGGCGTGGCACTGATGGAGTATGGTAGAATGAGCGGGGGGGATAGGATCGGTTGGCCCGTCGTGGTGGGTTCGTGTTAATTTGTCACGATGGTTTCTGGGGGGAGCCGCGTGGAGGTCCCTCTGGCGTGATACAATGTTAGCAGTGGGATTATTTTAACAATCCCATTCCCCCTTCCGTATTTCCGTGTTGAAATAAAAAATCGGTAATGATTGTAGTTGCCGCTGCATGTTCGTTTCATGAGGGGACGGTGACGGTGAGATGTTTAGTGGGACATCATATTACGTGATGCAATAGACCTGTGGGTATGAAGTATAATATTGCACTGTGCGGACGACACGTTTGTTTTGCTTTATCTTTTCTAGGTGTCGATGCACTTTAATTACTTTTGGCAATAGGGCCGCCTTATTGTATTTATACAGAGGTGGTGACTAGTGTTCAAATGTCACTATTTTCTTTTAGAGTATTGCTGCAAATGGAAGTGGTCTAAAGTTCCTCTTTCTAACTGTAATGATCACATGATAACCTAATATTACATTTGGTACGGGATAATATTACGATGTTGTCGGGTGATACGATATTATTACAAATGATGGTGAGCTGACAATTGTACCTGCATTATAGTACTGATGTTGGGTATTATATACAAAACAACAATAGTAAAATCTAAGGTGGGGTGACACACACGGTTTGAGCAGTGCTTGGTGGACAATATTTATATTTGCCTTAATTGATTGCAAGTGTTGAAGTATCTGGGTAACAGTGTCCCATACATTTCGATGCGGATGAGTTGTTCGGAATACCTGCAGACTATTTTATTCTGGTATTCGAGCAGAGCCGCGAAGTAGTGTGGTTAAAATGTTTTTATTTGGATTGGATTTGGCTTTTGGATTATATAATTTATAAATAATAATTATTAGTGAGCTTTCCAATGGATGCCGGTGGGAATTGCAATTGTTTTGCATAGGAAGGTTTTAAATGTAGATTAATTATTAGTTTGATACGTTATGTTGGGGTCTACTATACATGTTGTATAGTGCAAGGTGCCTATCTACTTGTCTGGCATATTTTTAACAATTTGTGCTTTGTGTTAAAATGAAGCGCGCATCTACACTTGCGACCTAGAAGGCAATCTTTTGGTTTGGTGAATTTAGTGTCTAATGAATTTGTTGAAGAAAAACAAAAAACCACGTATTCAAGAGGTTGAGATGCCGACTATTATATTGCGAGGAAGTGTGTCGCTAGTTATGGTCGGATGTAAGGTACAGGAGTGCTGTTTCTGTATGCGGTATGTGGTTTCTATAGTCAGTAACACTGGAACGAGAAAAAGGATACCGAATTATGTATGTATATAGAATTATTCTATTATTTTTACAGCAATGACAGTGATTAACTTTTAATAATAAGCTATAGTATAGTACAGTGGTGGTGAGTATGTCTTTATGGAAACATATTTAAGATTCTCTCTAATTTAAAAATACCAGTAAATTAGAAATTGCACAATAATGGTTACATGAAATAGAACTACTATTAAGTTCTGAATTATTGTACCTACTCGCCTAATGCATTATGCGGATGAGTGAAGGGGTTATTAGAGTGGAAAAAAAAATGTTTTTTATATTCTTTGAAGTTTCGGGAACATGGAATAGATTATGAATATTCTTTATTTAAAGAAGCTTGAATAATAGGAATAATAGCCATAATTGCATTAATGTACCGCATTTAGTAGCTGTGGAATGGAGTTAGAATTTGTTTTGTGATCACATGCAGACAGCGCTGACAGCTGTTTTATATGAATGTGACGGGGATGTTGGAGCGATGGGGAGTCATTTTTAATTGACAGTTAATCCAGTTGCGGCTGGAGTTGTGTAGTGTTGCGATACGCGAAATAAGTGTATTAATGTGGTTTTGAGTTTTGAGATAGCTAATAGGAAATGATACCTACTTCATTGTAGTAGTTGTAAAATATATACATGTATTTGTTTATCGTCATAGTACTGGTGTTGGTCGCTCTCTAAATACTTTGGCCGCATTGCAGGGTAGCTTAGACAAATTAGCGTGTTTTAACTTTTACATACGTACTACAGTGCAACCTCGATAAAACAAATCGAAAAAAAAAATATATATATATATACGTAGTATAACAAGTAATTCGTTGAACTGAGATTTATTATGTTGAAGGTACGTTGGTCTAAACTTCGTTATAAAAAGGTGTCTAAGCCATTTCAACTTGAATCTTTAACAATAGTGACGAGCAGCAGTGTTTACAAAACTTTACATTACTTTCCATCGAACACCAATTATTGGTCTACGATCAAAAGTACGTCGAAACATGTCCTGACATGAATCACATTATAAGAGATAAGTAGAGTTAGAGTCATACCATTGGTGGGAACATTATATAAAGGTTTTGGGTTAAGAGAATTCCTTATAAAGAGGTGTTTTTTCCAAATTAAAAAAAAATAATAATAATGTCGCAATGTAAAGGTATATTTTACATCGATTCTTATGGAAAATCCAAGGGATTACAAAGAATTAGTTAAATCAAGGAAGTCGTTATATACGAGGTATATTATTGTGAATGAGGTGCGTTATATTATGGCTGCACAATTATTATTATTATTACTAGATAATAATGTAAACCATGATGCATGATAGTAACAATTACTGACGATACATTATTGGAAAAAAAATAGTTCTGAGGATACTATTAGTATTCCTATACTTTAGATTAGAATTATTTACTGGACATTCATTGTGGAGTAAATAAATCTGAAATATGTTTAATATTAGTAGTCATAAATGTATATATTGTGAAAATTAAATGGATAAGAGTGGCGTTTAATTGTGCTATAATTATAAAATTTGGTGTTTTGCAGGAGTTCATGATTTGCTTATAAAGTGACTATTGGCTCAGATGACCTTAAAGAAATTAGCAAAGGAAGAAAAACTATGAGCATAATACTAATAACCAATACTTAAAGAGGATGAATTAAGAAGTTCAATGGAATTATAATGACGGTGACAATGGCATTGATATTCTAAAAAAGGAGCTACAGAGGTAAGGTAGACTGGGCCGTCAAGCATTAAATTGCGTATTGACGGACAGGTTGCATTAAATTGCGTTGGCTGGGCCATCAGGCATTAAATTGCGAACTGATGGACAGATTGCATTAAATTGCGTTGGCTGGGCCATCAGGCATTAAATTGCGAACTGATGGACAGATTGCATTAAATTGCGTTGGCTGGGCCATCAGGCATTAAATTGCGAACTGATGGACAGATTGCATTAAATTGCGTTGGACTGGGCCGTCAAGCATTAAATTGCGTATTGGCGGACAGGTTGCATTAAATTGCGTTGGCTGGGTCGTTAAGCATTAAATTGCGTATTAACGTCCAGTTTTGTTAAATTGTCTTTGGCGGGGTCATCAAGCATTGTATTGTGTATTGATGAATGGTGTCCTATTCATTAAAGGTAAATTGATAGAATGTTGCATTAAATTGCGGGTGAATATAAGTAATAAAAAATTGTCAGTTTTAATGCATATTAATTATCGGAGTGAAATGGAGCGGATTCAGTAAAATATAATAAATCAAAAGTCATAAGGACACAAATTAATTTTGGTCGAAAATATAATTTCTATAACTAATATAATTGACGATTGCTGGAGTACGTAGAGTCGCTGTGGTGATATATGTGGTATATGTCGATCGCTCAAAGACTGGTCTGACAACCTTTCCTAATATTTTAGCACTGAATTAATGCAGGTGATCAGGGAGATAATTTTGTACGATGAAGAATGGTTATAGTTATACCCAATTAATACTACATGGACTGATATCAGATGTGTAAACAGAATATAGTGGAAAGTCGTTTGCAATTATTGATGCAACTCTTGATATAATAATAATATTCTGGTATAAATAGTGGGGAGTTTTGAAGAAATTCCAGATTATGTTTTAGATAATCAGTTTTCAAATGTACATGATAAAGAAAAATACTACATGTAAATAACACATTGTATGAGACAGATATAATGGAAAAAAAAATATAAGTATTTACCTTAAACCTACAAAATATAAAGTAGTGACTACTGTGATAGAGATATTCTGGTCATAAACTTACAACATTTTTCAGAAGTGCTTTATACTAATCTTACATAATATTATACAATAACAAAGTGGAATAACGATTATATGAAAACAAATATAAAAGAAGAAAGGTGAAGTATGTGAAACAGAGAGTAAATTGGAGTTAATATATAAATGTAATTTATATTCAAAAGAGGAGGAAAAATCACGGTGCTGGTTACGCTGGAAAGGCCAATCGCACTAGAGGCATTCGGCTTATGTGTGGCAGTATAGTGTCAAAATGAGTCCACTATCGGTGTAACGTAGCACACATGCCTCCAAGGAACAAATACCTAATAGAGTGGATTGATTCATGCTTGAAAAGAAAATAAACTTAAAAAGGAGAGAGATGTAGTGTATGTGGAAACACTAGCAGTTTATTATCTATCGTCTCGAGCCGAGCGTACACGTACCGCCGTGCGCAAGAGGGAAGGGATTCCCTGCGCAAGCGCCGCGGAGTAAAGACGTGGAGCTATGGCTAACGAGCCGATATTACGTCGATAACAACTTACATACAAGAAGACATAAATAACAAATAAGTGAACACTACACATCCAAAATAAGGAAGATAATTACAGTAAAATATTAAAACATTAGCTCGAATAGATCTCTTCGAATCCATAATATGGAATAGCTGCATCACTGATGTGTAGAATTCGGGGGAGCGCAAACAGCCTCCTAAACACCATAGCAAATATGTCGGATTATCCGCTCCAGAGACACTGGACATCACGGCGGACTTAGTGCTTATGGACGTGGACATAGACATATATACATGAGTTGAAAGGATATAAATTGTAATTTACTAACATAGTTCATAAGTTGTTTAGTAACATAATATGGATGGATATCCAAATTAAATGAATAAATAAAATTACCTACTTTATTTTTTTGATTGTATTATCTTAACAACATTGGGTTACCCAAAACGGATTATGACAACGCGGATTATATTAACAATATCTATCTATTTTTAATAATTACAAAGTTGACTGCAGACTAGGCAGATAAAAGTTCCTCAACGGTCAACGATATTGATAAAGTATAGGGATTAGTTACCTACATAATCTAACGCCATTTATCATACAAACAAACACGTATTTTCCCACGTTATTAATACTTTCTCTAGGTATTAATAGGTAAATTATTATTATCCGATATCGGTTGGATTCTAGGAAATAAAGAGGTCTATATTTAATCCAACTGGGGTTAATACATATTGTTTTTTTAAGGGATGATAATGGAATCGTTTATAATAAAGACACCTACGGAGAGTGTAAAAAAAATACTACGGAATTTCGCTCATTCTATATGAGCTAAATTCCATAGTAATTTGGGTCAGCCTCTCGTTATGGAAAGGAACTTCGAATCTACATACATAATTAAACTCGATCATATCTATGTATTATAGAATATTCTAGAAAAAATCCGTATTATATAAACAGGCTGACATTACTCCTCGAACTACAAAGATAGATAGCAGTTCATGACGACGTCCCCCAGAGATTATCAGTATGAATGTGACCAACCTGTCAGCTGTATATTTGTAGCGAGTTTCATAAGCGCCACGTCATTGTTAAAGGTGTCTGGATCCCAGTCTGGGTGCACCACGATCTCGTTAACGTTGACGATCCTTCTTCCATTCTCATAGCGGTCGTATAGGGAATGTGCTCCGAGAATTGCCTGGGGGTAATTAAAAAAACTGGCCAATTGCTAACAAACATGCCCCGAACTACGGTTTCGTACCTTGGGAATAGGATAGAAAGTTATAATCTCAAATATATAATCTTAACTTTTTTAACATTTCCTGATTTATATAGTATACGTAGTTTAAGGAAAGTTGTTGTTATTTAATATGAGTATGTATATTGTTAATTTAATTTAAATAAAAATAAAGTGACATAAACGGAACACATGTCTCGATATACCTACATATGGTACGGTTGGAAGCAGCGTAGTGATATTTTAAAATATTATAAAGAAAGAATAATAATTAATACCAGAAAGAAATAAGTTATAATTCAGCTCTGAGCTGAATTATAACTTTTTATATTTATTTTTATTAAATTAGAGGTTAGAGTAGAGTTAGGTAGAGTACAAATAAATAGGTAGGTAGGTATCTCTATGCTGATAATATTATTTTTTAAGGAACATCACGGTCCGCCTTTCTTTCCGTTGCTTTTAGATATCAGCAAAGTTCAGCAACCAAACCTCACGAAATGGGGGGAAGGGGATTGTTAGTAATGTGAACTCATGACCCATTACTAGCAATGTACCATGTCAGATTGACCTCCACGCGGATCCCCTGGAAACCATCGTGATAAATTTCTGATGAATTTGTCACGATGGGCAAACTGACCTGACCTCATCTTATCATCCTCCACTGGTGCCCCGCCAGCGTAAACCGTTAGCGCAGACGGGTGCACCATTCCGTTATCATTCATAAAAAAAACCTCACGAAATGGAGTAAAAGCACCCGTCACAATAATGCCTATTTTTTTTTTTATTGGGTTGCACTGCGAACTACATAGATCTATTGAAAATGCCTAGCTAAAAATACTTTTTAATTTAAGCAAATAACCCAACCCAAGGAACATATTATCTTTCTTTACTTTCTAATTTCATCGCACAACAAACTTAGGTAAGTAAATATCTTCTAATTTTGATTAAATACCTGCACATTATCTACAAGTTCTTCGTCGTGGAAACAGCAGTGCGCAGCTGTTATTACCCATTCTTGATGTATCAGAGAGCCCCCACAAAATCCCAACTCTCCTGTTGTTCCCACACGCAAATACAGAGCCACCTGGAAATAAATAGGATGTTTCCAAATATTATATAACCTACTAGCTACTCGCTCCGGCTTCGTACGGGTGTACATGTATTATATATATATATATAAACCTTCCTCTTGAATCACTCTATCAATTAAAAGATATCGCTTCAAAATCCGTTGCGTAGTTTTAAAGATTTAAGCATACATAGGGACGGACAGACAGCGACAGCGACTTTGTTCTATACTATATAATGATTTTATTTAGTAAGTAATAAATTTTAAATATTTTTAAGTTGGATATTTCATTTTTAAATGCACACTCTATACTTCCACATAGGTACATCTATACCTACACATACATATATAAAATTGAAGGGTCTGTTTGTAATCTTGAAATAACCGTTTTCTACCTGTCTATTATTATGGCTAATCTCTGAAATGCCTGGACCGATTTTGACGGGACTTTTAGGCTATTGGCAGGTAGGTGATATAATAACTTAGGCTACTTTTATTTTAGAAAAAATAAGTTTGAATTGAATAAGAGTTAGTATATAAATATAATTGTATTTAGGTTCGAATATAGGGCATTAATAAAAGAGGAAAAATAAAATATTTCATGTTTTCACATTGATGTCTAACTGTATGTCCTTGTCTTTTAAATAATATTTTCTTTAGATGCAGCACAGGTTCTAAAATATAATTGTGACTTGAACAGTAAATTTTGTTATGTCAGCATACAACATAGTGCATTTGATCGACTGAAATCTTTATGGTCATTTTTATAATAATGATCTACGGAATATATATTAAAATCAAATATTACTCGACTTTTCTAGTAATATCATCAAGAATAAAAACTGAAATAAGTTACCTGTAAGAGATTGCTATAGGGGTGCCTTTTATTTACCATATTTATATTAAGTTCTTTTTTCGTATAATTTGTATTTTATGTGCACAGTACAGTTAGACTTTGCTTCTTTTATAAAGTAGTATATGACTCTCATAGTAGTTATAGTATATGCGAATGGGAGAAGTTTTACCTGAAAAGGCCTGGAATTCTTTTCAACTACAGCTCCTCCAGAGATTCTCGTAGCGCCTGTACAGCCGACTCCATGACAGTTGAGCGAGGCACGTAATACACATGGTAATAAAATAAACACCACTGCTCCTAACATACTGAACATATAACAGATGTTACTCACAGTTTTCTAATCAGTTCGTGGGAATGTGGAATTTTATCGTGATCTACAACGGATATCGTCCGTTTTAGATATGTCATATTTTTTATCTTGTAATATCTCAGTTATTTGGCAATAAGATAGAGTTAACTATGCAGTATGTATCGACAATTTCCATGATGTTTGGTCTATAATTAATAACGTCGTGACCCAGTAGTTCACTACCCAACTTGGAACACAAATCGCATGAGTTCAAATCTGTCGTGTAAAGATAAGATTGAAATGCTACCATCTATCTTTGTCTTGATATCATACAGACAGAGAGTAACATTAGTTGACTTTGCTTAATAATTTTTTAAAATAAAATCGATAATACATGTCATATTCTATTTATTTTTAATTTTATATTTATTATGTACTTATTTAGCAGTTACTAGGTTATTGCATAAATGCAATTTAATAAACATACAGGATTTATAATCATTAAGATTTATTATAACTTTATTAATATAAATATGTAAGTGAAATAAAATATTTTGATTGATTTTCATTGAGAATTACTAAAATATGCTGGGCACAATTAATAAGTATATAAATAACTTTATTGAAGAGGCAGACATAGTTAATATGCTGTACTTAATGTCTATATTATAGTACTGGAACTCTTCTTATTATTGATTAAAAAAAAAGAAAAACTATTTAATTATATATAGGAAAACCTGTTCAAGACTATAATTGACATAAGATGGATCGCTACAGGAGATATAAAAAGAAACAACAAATTATTTGAAAACATCTTTATTATATTTTCCTCAAAAAAGTAAAATTTTAAAATAAAATATTTAAATATAGGTTTACATGCAATAGTGTGAACAAGGTGGCAGTAAGGCGAGGGTGAGCTGATCGATACACTGACACATAGCAACAAGATGGCGCCACCACAACACAACTATACAAACACAATAATCATAAGACGAGTCGTAGACAGAACTAAAAATGTGCCATCGTTACATTATACGTGAAATTTAAACATCAATCTTTATATAAAATTAACGTTTTGTTAAAATATTGGCAGTAAACGTAATAACTTAATTAAAATATACGATAGAGACACTTTACTTTGTAGAAGCACTTACGAGGCGATTCAAGCATACTTACAATTCGTATTACTATAATTATATACTCCGCCGTTGCTGCGCGCGGTGCGACAGCGCACCACCTACCATCTATCGCTACCTGTCCATTATAATTACGAAGTCTAAGGAATTTCTGAATACGAATCTTATTAACAGCAACGTCGAAATATTGGAAAGAAGACTTTATAATGTAAAATTAATTCTAGCACAGATACGTAGCATTACGTAAAACGCGCGAACACGTCTCGTCAATCACTGGGTGGATGTACCGTCGATAGGATGTAAATGCTATTACGATCGGTCCTAGCTAAGTTACATATCAACTGCGGTTTAGTTACGTCAAAACATTGATATTTGATTGGTCAATTATTCTAATATAGAGATTGAATTATTTTATTAGTGAATCGAACGACATACATTTCTAGTTCAACTGAATTTATATTACACTAGCTCCATTTTATATATATAATATATAAATAATTAAAATATATATATTCATATATTTCAATCTGAATTTAAACACTAAAACCATCTATTCATAAATAGCATCGCATTTAGAATTTTATAATATGTCATCTCAATTTATAATCGTTTTAATATAACAATAATTACACATTCGTGGGGTGGGTTCACGCATACGGGGCTCGAGTTTATTGTAACCACTGAGCGCTCTGCTCGCGTGCCGACAATAAATACAGAAGGCGAACGAATCATACACTCATTACCATACAGTCTTAAATAACGTATTTGTACGCAACAAAATAATAACATTTTAGGGTTCCTTAACATGTATTGCCGCGTCGACATAATTTCTTCAGTAGCAAAGCTTACGGCGGCAAGCATCGTGAGAAATGTGCGGCGTCACCGGTGCGCGGGCGTTGGTTGTAATCACGGCTGATAAATGCTGATGCTGCTTCTCGTTTCGCTGACGCCTAATGAGGAAACATGACGGAACGGCTCTCCAGCGCTCCGCCGATTTAGCTGTTGGACATAACGATATATCATTAGACTATTAATTTTGGTTAAAAAAAATAATATGCAAAAGTGACATATTCTATAAAAATGTACAAAAGATTCATTCTTTGATGGCCAGCATGCTACTGTCAACAACTAGTCATATACTTTGCTTGGACTATTCATAATTTACGTCACACGTTAAAGCAGGGGAGCAAGTTACAAAGTGTAACATTGTGTGACGTCACACTAGGAAAGGACTCGTACAAATGACACTTTATGGTAGGGGAAATAAAGTGTGACATTGTGTGACGTCACACTAAGAAAGAAGTCCTACAAATGTAACCAGCTGTGACAAAGACGAGGGGGTTAACAAAGTGTGACAAGGGACGGGAGGGATCCTAAATATTGAGACGCCACATTTCAAAGCTTTAAAAATGTATCCATAATATTGAATCGAATTGCAAAATATGTGACGTCATACTAAAAGTCCCACAAATGTGACAAACTGTGACAAGGACGAGGATAGGAGTCTAATAATCATAAAATTAGTGCGACGTATTTTATGGACAGGTTCCTTAGTATTAGTAGAAACATGCATAGAGATTTTTTTATCGACAGTACTAGTATACACGCACCTATAAAATGGTGACCAATGTACAGTTTGCATGCGTTAAGATTAGTAATGGATTGACTTAAAATCGAGAGGTAACTAACGCTATTAGTATCACACGAATAAAGCGAAGAATTTTTAGTAAATATTATACAAAAGTAACTAAATTAAAATACAAACAAATAACATGCAGCGAGTTAACAATTTTCAATTAAATGAAATAACAAGGTGACTAGTGTAGAGTTTGCATGCATTATAATTAATTTGGTTTAACTTAAGTAATGCTATTAATATTACACGAATAAAGCGAAGAAATTTTAGTAAATGTTATACAAAAGCAAATAAAAATTCAAAAATAATTAAAATTCAAACAACAGCGAGTTAATTTCCAATTAAATGAAATTATACAGAGAGTTTCATCCCCCCACCTTTTTATCGTACAATTCTCGGCATATAACTTGAGCAGTGATAAATTTGCTTTATTTTAAATCTCTGCCTAAAAGTTATCGGCTGGATAATTCGCGTCCATAATTGAGTTAAAGCGAAGCTTAGACTCCGTATATAGTTCTCTATACTGCAACTAAGAAATATAAAATCAAACCGATGATTGCGAGTTCGATTTCTTTGGGTCTGGGTGTTTTTAAGCTTTGCTTTAGGACTAGATGGCGCTATTTGTATTGTCTATGTTTATTATTAAAGCTCTGTTTAGCTTGGGACTAGACGGCGTTTCGTTAATTGTCTATGATTACTATGCCAGCTCTACTTAGCGTCAACGTCGGCTCAAGTTATACGCCGGGAGGTCCCTACATGTAATACACACGTGGTGCGTCACGTGCGCGTCATGCGTCGTGCGTCATGCGTGTCGCGGCTACGGAGCGAATAGGAATGTAAAGGTGGCGACTGACTTCTTCTTGAGCGTGAAGAAGGAGCGTCGCTTGGGCTCGGTGTTGGCGGGCGCGGGCAGCGTGTGGCTGCGGGCGGCGGGCGCGGCGGCGCGGGCCCGCAGCGCCTCCAGCCACCGCGACATGTCCGCCTCGTCCGCCGCCTGCAGCAGCCACTCCGCGCCGCTGCCCAGTCTGCGACACACACACACACACACGCACCGCTCGTACACTACACTTATGTCAATATCTAATATATACAATTCTCGTGTCACAGGTTTCGTGTTTATACTCCTCCGAAATGGCTCGACCGATTTTGATGAATTTTTATATGTATATTCAGTAGGTCTGAGAACAGGTTAAGGGTGGCAAAACCCAACGAATATTTTAAAAAAATTTCGAAATTTTTTTTTATTTTTTATTATGTAAAAATAATAATAATAATTGTCGTATCATGCGTAAATTTTTACAGGAATATAAACATTAATTAAACATATTAGAATTACGAAAATATAAAATGAAAAAATAAATTTGCCTCTCAAACCTAGGGACCTCAAGGTCCCAGTAGCGTATATTTGATATTATTATGACTCTGATTACCATCACGCTAGATTAGCACCAGCATTGTAATTATTACAGAAGTTATGGTGGCGTACCTAAGCCGGAACACGTGCTTCTTCTTGGTGTAGTTGGCGGCGACCTCTATGACGGCCCCGTTGAGGTCGAGCGGAGCCTCCCCGCGCCACGGCTGGTCGGGCGCTGCCTTGTATGCCTTCTGGTCTTTGAAGAATGACATGCGACCGTCCTTCGCCACTACGTACACTTTGTCCCATGACCTGTTTATAAAGAATAATCGTAGAATTAGTCAAGCTTATTTCTACAATTTTTAATGCTGTTGGCCGCAGCTGGCCTTTACAACTTCACCGGACGATAGGGGGGCGAGTGTAGATGGCACTCCAAACCCGCAGAAGGACATATGGAGCGGCTGAAGGCCAAATACCGCCTGACGGATAGTGTTTCACACAGACAACGCCGTTCTATACTGGATTAACCGCAGGACCTTACGGACCGCTAGGGTCGAGCCTCGAGCTCCTTACCCGGGCATACTGCTAGGGTGAACCATCCCAGCGTTATTTATTTACGCCAATTCCAACGAAGCCGGCTACTAGGCAACGCCGCAGAATATAGCTAGTTCAATGTTACATACCTGTTGGAGGCCCGTTTGGCGGCGGACTCCCATTCGTGTTTCCGCACCAATGTTCCTTCCACACCCTCGTCCTCACTAACGGGACTAGCGCCCTCTGTACACAACATACAACTTATTACCAACCTTATTTTATAAGAGATATATTACTTTTTACTACACCATATCATGGTACCATTACAGCCAATGATAACAGAGTACAATAACATATATAATCTAAAACATTAACCTAAACTATATCTATAGATCACAAGTGATGGGTTTGATACGGTATGCTATTTGGTAGGACTATGTCCAAATGCAGCCACACAAATTGAATGAAAGCCACACTGATTGTACATTTTATTGCAAATAACACGCAAAATTAAAAGTTCATAACACATGCGCAAACGAATATAATGGCACACTTAAAGCTTTTCAGTATAGTTGGTAGTAGATAGCGGAATTTTGTAAACATTTTTAATCAGTATATTAATTTTACAAACTATATATACATATATGTACATTCTAGTTTTAAATTATGGGTCCATGTCTGTATATATAAATACTTAAGAAAATTTCAATTATTTACTTACAAAGTTTATTACTACAATAAAACAAAAACTAATAAAACAAATACAAATCAATATAGAATAAATATAAATTATATGGCAATACTATTATTTTAATTAGCCAAATAATTTGGAAGACATTAACCGTGGCCTATATACATGAACAGCACTACGGACATCTGTTATCATGTGACACCCGTGATATGCGTTTTTAGTTCGACTAAGATATCCTGTATACTAACTTCATAACTTTTGAACCTATATGACTAATTCCTTTAGAATAACTTTGTAATTTCCAATTTTGAAATATTCAGTTATTAACAAGCACCGCTGTCTACTACCATTGTTACCTTCGTCATCGTCACTGTGCGGTGAACCAGCGATCAACTTCTTCGCAGTACGCCAGCGGAAGCTCCTGAACGGTGACTTGCTACGCGATCGCGACTTCACCTTACCGGAGCTCGACGGTGTTGCGGGTGTCGAGCTCGAACCGGGCGCTGTCACCGCGAGATAGGAACAGGTAGTAGGGGACAGGACAGGTAAAGGATTTTAATGGTAGATGGGTATTTGTTAAGTGAGTGGAGATAATGTAGTAGAGTTAAGAGAAGGGAATTTGCGGGAAAGAAAGAAAAAAAACAAAACAAATAATTCAAAGCAACAAAAAATAACAAGTACGCGTCGCAGCAAATACAAGAAGCTGACTCATGCTAATTTCTTCCCTTTTTGACACTGAACGTAAATTACAAAAACACAGATGATAAATTTCATACCATGCACCGCACATACAGGGGACGTACACTATACAAGATTATTCTACTATTGATTAACTACATACACAATTATTAGTTTGCTATGATTGAAATCAGTATTTATTAGTCATGTCGAGGCCTGGATGACCTTTCTCCAAACAAATTACGAGGGTACCTGTGCAGATTTCATTACCTAGATTATGGTAATATTTAGCATTGACACATAAATATAGTATATATGTAATTGGATATATGAAATACTTGAATTAACGGACATCATTCGAAAATATTACAATGATAACAATAATAACTGTATTCTTACTCAATATTATTAAAATTGAATTTTTGTATCAATATTTTTTTAATCACTCCTTGTTACTACGTCTCTATCGTCTTTTCGAGCCGTTAAAGGTTGCAAAGGTGCCCTCATAATGAACCTTGAACCACGACACCAGCACCAAACATAGCTTCAAATACGCAAATATTTTCAAGATATTACAACTTTAAACGTAGGTTCAATTTGAACAAACATTTGCAAATAGTCTGTTGCTCGTTTCAGAGCACACATTATATTAATCAAATATATGTGTAGAATGTTAAACTAACGCACAACAACAACATACATTTGAACGTTTATGTACTAAGTCCAATGCACCGTTTTGTAAGTGCCAACATTTGTAGAATATTTTCCAAACATTTGAGGCTATGTGAGGCGCGTTGATTATTATACGTACCAGTAACGGGGTGCGATACTCACTAGTGAGGCGGGCGGGTTTGGCCGGCGTCTGTTTGGACGTGGAGGGGCGGAGCGGGGAGGACTGCGGGTGTGGCGGGGGCCGCGCGGGGGCGGGGGGCTCCGCGCGGGCAGCCGGGGCCTCTGCATGCGTACATCTACGTGCTAGTTACGTCTACACTACGTGCGCATGCCAGGTTATAACTACATGCTGTCGGCTGCCGATTAGTATATAATATACTACCACTACTAATTTATACGAAATACTTAGAAATAAGAATTACGACTAATTTTGGAACTATTAAGTTGTTCAAAATAAGTAAAAATATTTATGTAAACTGTTAACTACTAACTTATAAAAGAATTTAGTAAAATCGACAAAAATAAACAATACAAGCGTGTAAACTTCATTGGACGAGGATATGAACTATTTTACATTATTGATAATAATAGAAATATAATAACGATACTAATAGACAGCCGTTACGGGAAAATGTCAAGACAGTACATGCTACACTAGTTTATTAAACAACGCATTCAAAAGTACATTAGACGAGGTTTTCTACACGTGATATTATTCCGTCATCATTATTTAGAGCCGTTTTAATGTCCTAATGAATTTATATTATTGTTCCAACCGAAATAAGTGATTATCTAAGAACCTTCATAATAGAATGCACATTATAAACTAAATATATTATGATTAAAAGACAAAGCAAGACAAAATGAATATACACAAATCAGAGATATTTATTTTTAAAAATATATGTTTAAATATTCTGTGCGAAACCAGTCTAAAAGTCCACTTAACTTTCAAATAGATGTTATACATAAAAAAGAAATATCTCTGATGAAGTACAAACATGATTAAGCCCCATATTAATACGAAATTTTAACATCTAATAAACTTATTTAACTATTGACTGAATTTACCTTTTTTTTACGACAAATTGTTTATAAAATGTAAGGCGTTTCCTTACAAAGCACTCTAATAGTTAAATATTGTCTATTGGAGGTTTAAAGTCCAAATGAATAAAGATAGTATGTATAAAGTTAATTAATCCCAAAAGTAGACATTACATTTATCATTTAGTATCAAAAGAAAGTTTTATTTTATTAATTTCACCATGTTGGCGGTAAATTATACAATTTATTACACCATAACAAGACCTCAATAAAATTCAGTGTCGGTATCACAGATAAGATGAAATATAAGCTGTTGGAAAGCATTGCATTTATAGCTGTAGATAAGAAAAAGCTAGAAATAAACAAGATCTACCTTTCTGAAGGCTGCTACTTAAGAAAACTTAAGCACTGTTTACATGTAGAGTTAATTACGCCAAATAAGAGGTAGCAACAAACTACGAACGATTATTGGGTTTCGATAATTTCAGAACCATGTTCAATTATTTTGTAGCTAACAACGTCGCACAACTAAATTAATTGTAACCAATCTTTGATGTAGCCATTAATAATTACGGGGTTCAAGTGTGGCAGATTAACTTAGTTATGTGGCGAATAGGTATACATAGTCAGAAAAAGTAAAGGGTGAGACGCAAGCAATATAATGGGAGACATGAATAAGACATAGTATCAAACCATCACCGTGATTAGCTTTAACAGACACAATATAAATACAATAGTACTAATATTATAGATAAGAAAGTCATGAGAATGTAACATAATATCTAATAATAATATCTATGAAATAAATAAAAATTCGTGAAATATACATGAAGAATTCGAGTCTTAACGCAAAGTAGTAATATTTTTTGCGTTAAAACAGTGTATGCGTGAACGATGTGTTGATGATGTTGATGGAAGTAGAGAAGATAAACCAACACCTAAATGAGAAACAGAGTACCGTGAGAAACATAGAAGTCGTGCATCAAGAAAATAGTGCTCTACGCCCAACTACGCGTATATATAGCCTACAAAACAAATCCTAAACGAGACGGCCCCGTTTTTACAGAAAAAGCTTTCAAACTACAAATTAATAACAGATATAACTATTCCCGTAGTGGCGATATATAAAAACGAGCGCAGTGTAACCCGACATAATTAAGAATACACCCATTATTGTAACTACCGTAGAAGCTCATGCTCGTAGCCGGGTTACTTTTTACAACGGTAGGTCTATAGTAAGCGCTCTGTTTACCTGGCTGGGAATGCGGTCGCTCTTGGGCCTTCTCAGCCGCTTTAGTGGACGTTCTCCTTACGACTACGCGTGTGCATGTGTGGACAACACATCGGTAAGTAACGGTCATTTTGTCTCACACGCAAAACTCGCATCAGCGAATGAAACAGTGGCAACTCAAATATATTAAGATGCAAAATAATTCTCATATATTTTATACACAAAAAGAGATTTTCAATTCATTCAAAGAGATCAAACAATAAGATTTAAGAGCGTTCATATCGCAAATCTGTTAATCGTAAAATACGCAATGTTCATGTCAAAAACTAGCAATATCAATATCAATATTATGTCAATTTTCATAGTACAAAAATACTGCGTAGGTACTAGGAAATTACAAAAATACAAAAATATTTAAAAAAATCTGTAAATTTTCAGTGACATTAAAGTTAATTCTATAAACTGAATTATATCAATTATTGGAAAATAATTTTATTACATTGCAAGCTTAAATATGAAAGCCCTTAAAAATTTATGTTAAAATAATTACAAAAATAAAATTTTCAATACTATTAAATAATTAGACTAAGTTACACTTAAGATCTGCAGTTTCATTGGCCGATCGAGTAAGCGATATGGGGATATGTAAATAGTTCACAATAAAAGCAGCAAAGCGATGCCGCGGTGCGGCTTTATCGCAGTGCGGAACGTGCTCACTTCGACACAGAACCTCCGTCGCTCCTCCGTCTTACATCCTATATAATTAACTATAAAATGTATCAGTGTTATTGCAATATGCAAGCAGCATTCACCAATTAATAGGTGAAAGTTAGTGGAAAGTTTTACTCGTCCTGTACTGTAGATATACCGTTTCATTCGAGAGTGCTAGTCATTACACATGCGTGCATCGTTGCAATCCGTGATTCGTAGTGTTAATTTTGAAAGTTTTACTCTGTGTTTTTGATCAACTCGTAAGGTATTAAGTGCGGAATCCGACAGTCCCTCTAATCATCATTATTTCAAAGAACGTTTTCGTTGACAAAAGAAATAATCACATAGTCATCAATGCAAAGCATGACGTCCGTAATGATTGGCTATTGATTATTCTTTTCCTCTCTGTATGGTTTTCTTAAACTTAAATTTTCTGTCCTTGTCTTCTTTACAAACAATTTTGACATGTTTTATTTTACAAATGCATTTAACAATAACACAGATTAATAATAGACAATATATTTTCTTTTTACTACAGCAACTATACTGTGACATGTCAAAATTGTTTACTATATGGATTTAGAGTAAAAAAATCAACGGCAAAATAAAGAGTAGTAATTCTTGAATGCACAAATGCTTTTTATATAATACTATATCGTATATATATCTTATATCTTTATGTATATAGTACATCTTTACATTAGAATTTAAGGAAACATTAACTCGCATAGTCTAAATCCACTTTTAGACAAGTAGGAATAAATCTAAAACACAACACCGCGTTTCCGCCAAAACCATTTTTAATTATACATGTATAAATTATATTTAGACTCATCAAATTCTCTTCTATTCATCAAATTATCTTCTACTCTTCTATACATGTTTTAAAATTTTATACACTATGACAACGCAATGAAACATGTCTGTAACTGTAACACTTGAGCATTAGCTCAAACTGGAAATTAATATTAGTCGAATAAACATCACCAATACAAAAAATAACCTGAACATCACCACTTGATTGTAGTGATGTAAATAGTAATTTGTAGTTTGCATTTCAATGCAACACTCAAATCATTCTCAAATAAGTACTGACTGATTAGGTATCATTAGGATGGACAATAAGAAAGATATTGTGAACGTCCATCATTTACCGACTTCAGCAGTGACGCAAACAGTAATTCGTATTTTGCATTTATATGCAACAATAACGTCATTCAGAACAAGTACCGACTGCATAGGAACTATGTAATGTCAGTTTCATATTTTTGATGTTTCCGCATCCGTCTTATTCTACTGTGGGCATACACATAAAGTGCGGATGTATTGTGGGGGAGGAACTCACCCTGCGGCTGGTCGGTGACATCAACAGCTGGCTGGGCGGCTGCCTGAGCGGCAGCAGCGGCGGCGGCTTGCCGCTCGCGCTCCTCTCGCTCGGCAGCCTCAGCAGCCTCTTGACGCCGTTTCATTTCCTTCACCTCGAACTGGAACACCACACATATATTCCTACCATCTTCTATCTCTTTCTATCGTATGTAAACTAAACGTATAGCGCATGACCAGCAATATCTATCTCACTCACTAGTCAAAATTCAAACTCGTACTTTTGTACCGAACTAAAACTTTAACCACTCAAAAGTTCAACAAAATTATATATACTAAAATAATATCATATCAATGTATATCTTACATTAAGACAGTTTTATAGAGATATATATAATTAAATTATTGAATACTTAAACAATTTATTCTATAAATACTAAGTATTTCAAAACCTAAATATAGAATAATTTAGTTATTTTCTAGTGACCGTTATAAACGTAATGTTGTATTCAATCAGTGATTAACAGTTTAAGACGATAGAAAGACTTATCCCAATCAGTTTACAGTGATAACAGATTTACATGCGAACGTATGCAGAGCTTTTTGCTTTATGTTATCAGTTTTCATATCAATTATAATACATGAGTGGTAAAATGTAACAATGGGCGGCCTTATTACTAGCGAATTCTTTCAGGCAATCTTAGGATCAAGAGGAGTGATTAGACTGAGTCTGGTCAACGCATTACGATAATTATTTATTATAAGTATTACTATATAAAATATTATATACACGTACATATAAGTACATGATACGTAAAACGTTTATAGGCTGTAGGCAAACATGCAAAAATTACCTGTATTGCATTAAGTGCTAGCTTAACTGACCTAACATGTTTTTTAATATCTAAATTGTTATACTATATAAAAAACTATATAAACTGTATTCATTATATAAGATCGATACAGTCCGGCCGCTCAGAGTTTGCGTTTCTGACAGCTCGTGATCGAATGGGCACTGTAACTTTGAACTGACGTACAATTTACGGCCAAATTTTAAATATATTTTATTTGCCTTTTTAACGAGTGATAATTAAACATTAAACATTTAATAACTATTCAAACTTTTAATAAACCTATTAAAATTTGGGCTAAATAATTAACTATTAACTTAAACCACATCAAGCTGCGTTGTTTCGAGGTTATCTGGTCACATTACTACAAAAACAGTTGATATAAACTGTCAGAAATGCAAACTCTGAGCGGCCGGACTTTAAGACTGGAACTGGACTGAAAAAGTCATTCTCTAAATCTGCCTCAAAAATACTTTTTTAAATTATATATGACAGCTAATTAACTAGACAGTAGTATGTGATTTTGTAACATAGATCAGTTGATTTAAAGAATGTATAGAGATACATATATGATACATATATGATGGCATGCAAGCACTAAAAAAGCATGTGCAAACTAAACACCACACTTACACTATCCAAGTAGTTAAAATACCATGCACCATCAGGAAACAGGAGGGAACGGGTTTGTGCCAATAGTAGGAGTGACGAATTTAGGGGAATGTTTTTAACGTCTTTTCCTAAGTCATTAATCGTATTTGTACTTCCAGTCAGGGCAGGCATCGATAGCACAGCAACTTCGCCTTTAATATCTGGCTGGGAAGATTTCTTTTTCAGTGACAACAAACGCTTTAACCGTTTCATACTACCAGATTTGGATGAAGATTCACTTTTAGATCTGAGTAAGCAAACATTTGGAAACACATTATGGTAAGACAATCTTTCCCATAATATAAAGTCGATACAAGCTAAGTATGTATTACTATTTTTGTTTTTACTCAGGTCCGGGTATTCAAAAAAGACTGGGCTGTATATTTCTGGCGAAAAAGGTGTGCTCACCGGTGATTCTGGGGACCTGTCATTTGGGGACGCGATTATACTACTATTCTCTGATATTGTCGATAGACTGTTATTTGTTACAGTCGACCATAGATACGAATCGTTCTTTCGCGGCGCTAGATTAATGGTAAGACTTCTGGCCTTAACTCGTTCCGGTATTTCGTACTTATCACTATTTATTATAATATCTTCAACAACTCGAGATAAAGGAGGTTCAGGTTTAGTGATGGGTAGTGTTAGGGATTTTGTACGGATTTGAGCAGGAGGTACATATGTGTACACAGTTTCGTCATAGTGTTCCCAAGGTTGCGTGCTAGGCCATAACGATGTTGCACGAAGTTCAAGCTAGTGTCGAGTAGAAGAAAAAAGAGAAGAATGAGAAATGAAGTAAAAACAAATGAAAATTTAGTCCATATACAACTACAGTAAGGAGCCATTACATTATCAAACATATTGCTAATATAAGTATTATTTAAAATATAAATTTACAATAAGGCTTTTACTTACATTATTACACAATTTTACTAAGTCTTGAGAATAACTTTTTTGTTTTTCTGTATTTGACACTACAAGCAATCCTGTATTTGATAATGCAATATTCCCTATACATATATATTTATTAAATAAAACACCAACGGTTTAGCAGTAGGTACAATTTACAACAATATTAACGCTAGTAGATTAAATGTAACCACACCATGCTTTGTGATATATGAGCTAACCACATGAACGAATTCAAATTACAGAAGCCCCAATTTCCATTTATACAAACGGGGTAACGCAAAAATCCGCTTTATATGAATCAACGACTTATTCATTATATTTATTATTACACAAGCTTTTATTAGTGTTTACTACTCACTTTTTTTGAGGAGTTAATATTTTTCCTGGCATACATGGTACCATTTTACCTTTCAAACGAACTGAGTAAAAGAATTTCTCAATTCAGTGCAACAAAAAGTTCAGGAGTTTATTTTCCTTATAACAAAATCCGCTCTCTCTCTCTACAACATTAGTGTGCACTAATTATCTTATTGTTCATATAAAGCGAGTTTTTTTACCCCTAACATGAATTAGTAATAATAATAGCGTATAATTACCGTGGTAAGCCTCTGCAGGGCACTGAACCTGTCCTCCTGCGCGGCGGCCGATTTCTCGAAGGCCTCGTGCTTCTTGATGAGGCTCTCGACCTCGTCGATGGTGTGTCCGAGCTCCTGCGACATGAGGTACGGCTCCTGCGCGATCAGCCACGCCTCCGCCACCGCCGCGTCACGCGCGAACTGGTACACCTCCAGGACTGCAAACATGACACGCTCACTACACTACTGCCCACCGATCATAATACAATATAATAGAAAAACTTTAATAAATTTAAATACTTAAATAGTCATACTTATCTTTTTAATCTACCGTTCATTCAGAAAGAACCACACAAGGAGAACGAACAGGAAACTTGTATGTTATAATTAATATTATACATACAAGTTTCTAGTATTATAAATGAAGTATAATAAATCCCTGGACAATTCATACAGCGTAGATGACGATAGTTTCAAACTAAGCAGATCTTGTGATATGAGCACTAGACAACTGATATAAATACTTCGATTTTTTTTATAAATACATACATTATATACATAGAACACACCCAGACCGATACTAACAATCATATTTATTAATACAGCGCGTTTGCATCAATTCCTTAAACACACGACCATCGGAAGTAAAGCTAATCTAAATTTATCAATCAGGTTCACGTTCATTAGGAAACATCCAGTTTTTTATATAAGTAACCATCACCTATATACATGAACGGCACTACGGACATCACTTTATCATGTGACAACAGCGATACAACTAATGCTTTACCACCCCAGCGGACACTAGTACTCTGGAATGGTTATCTGATTATGCGTCTGTACCGTGTAATTTCACTATATTCCATCCTCCAACCGAAAGACAGCTTAGAAAGCAAACTGCTCGACGGTTGAAATAGGCGAGACAGACTTACGCTTTAACTTTGTACAAAGCCATTTTGAAAATCAACCTTAGTAAATAGACAATAAGGTCAAACTTACTGAGTTGCAGATTCTCCCAGCGCTCCTCCCATCTGCGCAACAGCGCGTTCCTCTGATTGGTGAGCTGCAACAACTTCTCCTTGATATCGGCGGAGGCGTAGTGCTGCCGGGACAACAGTTCCTTGCCGAGTGATATGCACGCCGAGAATGTGTCCTCGCGGGTGTCAATTTCCGCTTTCAGCGATTGGTGATTGTTCATTAGCAGTTCCACGCCGCTTACGTCTCTGTTAGAATACAATAAATAAATGCATAATGTGAAAGGTTACATTATAAAATATTGGACTATATGTACAGAAATTGCAAATATAGATATGAAAATTCATTGCACTATATAAGCTATATAAGATATTATATTATAAATATACTACATACAAGTTGTATATACTATATAATATACAACTTGTATACATACATACAAAATCTGTTTTATAAATTAACAAATTCATGTTGTTCTTAGACAATATATACAATCATATTTTGTTACTATTAAATGATTGTAGTAAATGATGCAATTAAGTAAATTATAAGGCAACAGGAGAAAGGCAAACATTTCTCTTGAATTTCTTGAAATTATCGGAATGAAGGTGAAGGATTTATAAATAGATAGAGGGCGGGAGAGACGGAGAGAACGATATGTGATTGTGTTTGTTCTATTCGGTCACAACATAAGTAAGAAACGACGCGGCCAACATGGTGACGCCGTGATCGATCACGTGGTACGTGGTAGTAGTAGAGAGGGGTAGGCGTAGGTCGGGAGGTACCTGGGCTTCTCGCCGGTGTTCATCTGCCGCACGACGTCGTCCATCCAGAGCGCGAGCGCGCGCACCTGCGTGAGGAACCGGTACAGGTCGTCGGCGTCCAGCAGCTTGTCGCGCCGCGCGCCGCACGCCGCCGTCAGCGCGCGCCACGCCTCGCGCAGCTCCGCCTCGCGACGGGTGATCTCCAGCGCCTGCGCACAGTACTCCGCTTTACACGCACGCTATATCATGCGCGAATACGCTTTCACGCAGGAAACATCATTTACACGCACGCTATATCATGCGCCAATACGCTTTCACGCAGGAAACATCCTTTACACGCACGTTATATCATGCGCCAATACGCTTTCACGCAGGAAAATTCCTTTACACGCACGCTATATCATGCGCGAATACGCTTTCACGCAGGAAACATCCTTTACACGCACGCTATATCATGCGCGAATACACTTTCACGCAGGAAACATCATTTACACGCACGCTATATCATGCGCGAATACACTTTCACGCAGGAAACATCCTTTACGCGCACGCTATTTCAAGCGCGAATATGTCATACTTTCACATTGTGCACGTAGATTGCCTTTACGCGCGGTATCTCCTTCTGAATCACTTGCCTTTACAAGCACACTTTTTGAAATGCAAATACGTTAGACTTTCAGTGTGCACGTGAATTGTCTTTATGCCAGTGATTTCCAGTGCCTTCGCATTATTTTCCTTTACACGCTCGCTTCTACAAGTGCGTAAACATTATTCTTTCAAGCAGGGAACAATGTGCACTTAAATTAACTTTACATGCACACTATTTTCTATTTGACGGCGTCGATAATTTAGCAGTTTAGCATATCGCTTTACTGCTGTAGGTCGCGGGTTCGATTCCTTGCATGGTACAAACATATTCTACCGGTCTGAGTGTTTTCTATATATAATATATATGTATAATATATATATGTATTTACATAAAATACATACATTCATTCATCACATAAAAAGAACGAGATAGACCGCACGCCGCCAGCACGCACATTCCCACATTCTTCAATAGATCTTGCTTTGGTGCAGTTATTGGAAAATGGCTGACTATAAATAGCGTATTGTGTACCTTATCTCCGGCGTAGGAGGCCTGCAGGCGAGCGCACTCGTCGCTGACGGCGTCCACCTGCTGCTGCAGCGTGGAGAGGTCCTGCATGAAGTTGTAGTGCTTGCGCTGCAGGGCGCCCACGCTGATGGCGTCGCGGCCGAGCTCGTCGCTGACGCCGCGCGCCTTCTCGTTGACGCGCTGCAGGGTGTCCTTGCAGTCGTGGAAGTACTTGTGCAGCTCGCGGGAAGCGGCCAACATCTGCACGTACATACGCACATCAAATGTCACATACATTCATCAAATAATATTTATACGTGTAGGACATTTTAATATTTTTAATATTTTACCCTGCCGTCCTTCAGTATACAGATTCAATTGAGAAGATCTGGCAAGAAACTCAACTGAATTTCATTTTCTTAATAGCTTACTTATTTTGTGGCTAGGGTGGCGTTCTGGCGTCATTCATTTATTTTTATTATACATATTTATGCATTTATATCAGTTATCTAATATCCATAACACAAGCTCTGCTTTACCTTTAGACTAGATGACGTTGTGTAAGCGGATAAAATGTCCTAAATTTTTTTATATAATAAATAAATAAATAATAATATTTTTTTCTAGAAATACAATTCACGTGAGACAAAACCTTTCCAATATGAATGATTGTTGATTTGATTTGATTTAAAGGGCACCGACCTGAGTCCTGGTCTCGATGAGCTCGAGGAGATCCTGCCAGGTCTCCTTGAGGCCCTCCTTCCACTGCGCGATGGTGGCGTTGTCGGAGTGTCCCATGGCGATCATCTGGTCGGCGATGCGCTCGGCGGTGGCCACGCGCTCCGAGCCCACCGCTTGTGTCTCGCGAGCGAACTCCTTGAATCGTTCCCACAGGAGCTGCACAATACAATATTCATTCATTATTCTGTTTGTGGTATTTTAACCTTTCAACTGTTAGCAAAATGACAATAACGCCCCATATGTGAGACCGATTACAGGACTTCTCACAGATGGGGCTATAGTGTCCTAGTCCAATAATTGGCTCCTTCGCAGACGAGAAGTTAATTATATTTGGACGAATTAGGTGTTATTTTGCGGAATTCCATTTCACTACTTATTATTTTGATGAATTTCGCTACAATTTTCATGTGTGAGATTACAAATATTTAGCGCGAAAACTTGACTACCGTTACGACCTTCTCTAATTGGATGAAATTCTGGCCGTTATTGAATCTACACCCACATTGCGACACGTGTTTCGCCTCTGAACGGGGCATTATCAACATTGAATAGAGATCGGATAAAGCTTGAAACCTAGTGTTAACTGTTTGGCGCTGTTTGTTTGTTAAGTCGCGGTTTGGGTACCGAACAGTAACGTATATATCCAATAAGTTCCTACTAAGCTATCGAGTTTGCCTATATTAAAAAAAAAAAACTCACTAGTGCCTGTCTTACCTTCATCCCGTTTTTCCGAGTTTTACAGAAAACCAATGTACAATATCACCGCGGATTCCACTTTCGATTTCGTAAATGATGCTTACAGAATAGCTCTATAGCTTGTAAAAATTTGCAGATTGTTATTAAGGTATAGGATGGGTAGTGTGTACTGACGGTGACGTGGTCGTAGTCCTGTCCGAGCTCCTGCGAGCCGGCGACCAGCTCGCGCTCTGCGATCCACTGCTCGAGGTCGTCGACCTCCCGCGACAGCTGGAACAGCCGCAGCGCCTCGTCCAGCTTGGCGCGCCGCTCGCCGGCCAGGTCCTTCAGGCCCGCGTACAGCTTGTCCACTTGCGACTGCTTCACCGAGATGTTTTCGCTGCACCCACAACGATTCAACGGTTAGGATACAGCAGACATTAAAGGACGAGAGGCATGATACCTTAGTCCTCAAGAATGGCAATGCATGGGTGGTATTAATTTATTTGCTGTATGGATCACTAAAATTGGTACAAAAAGTGGACTTAATGCTATAGCATTCTCTCCCAGTTAACCTTTGGAATATGCAGAGATACTTGATTGTGGTTAAAATAATAATTTGTGGTATTAGTAGTGATTCATTTGACTATAAAAAAAGGCTCTTTAATTCCGATGCTCGCATGTTCAATCATGATGAAAACATTAGTACTCATGAGTATTGTTTGTATTGATCTGATTATTTTTTCTTTGTATTCTATGCATGTATTAAAAAAATCAATTTACGTATTTCTATCGATTGTCTAGTACCCATAACACAAGCTCTGCTTAACTTGGGACTAGACAAAGCTGTGTCAATTGTCCAGGATGATTATTATTATTTTGTTGTTGTTGTTGTTTAAGTTTGTTGTTTTGTTTGAAGAAAGATACACCGTACTCATGATAACAAGAACGGTATGTCCATTTTCGAGATAAGAAGTGTCATATTTCCATACTCTGTAACTTTTAATATATTTAACATTATTATTCATGTCTTACCTGAGAGGATGTTCTTCAGCAGTAAGCTGGCGGACAGTCTCGCCGAGCTGACGGATGGTCTGTGCGTAGTCATCAACTGCTTGTTCCAGGATCTCATGCTTCTTCATCAGGTTCTGAGCAGAGATCTCGTCCTTGCCACGGTCTTCCACCATCATGTACAGCTCTTGTTCACTCATCCAAGCCTCCGCCTCATTCGCGTCGAACAGATACTGTTGAGCCTTCTCCCATTGTGACAGGTTACTCTTTCGTTGTTCGATAGCATCTAGAATAAATATGAAGAAAATTTGTCCAAATTAGGTTGGTACATAAATTTTAATTACTGAAAGTAGTTTGATCACTCGTTTCTTTTTTTAATAGTTCTAAGTTGTATAATTAATATAAGGATCTTTAAATCTAATTTTTTTTCAGGAAAATACTGTAAATATTAGGCGAAGATAATGTAATAAATTTTTAAACACCTTAATGTAAGTTTGTAATAAACACAGCGCAAAGAATGCATTTGTGCATTACAAACAAAAAATAATCTTTACCCTTTATAGTATAGGATATCTTTAATTGTATATTGTTCTTACAATAAAAACAAAATAACTATATGAATAAATTTTACCTTTAAGTTCTTGCCATCGTGCCGTGAGTTCTTCGATAAGCTTCTGAAATTCGGGAGTGGCCTCGTGACCCTCGTCAATCAACTTCTGTCCATTCGAGATCACAGTTAGAATTCTTGGCTCGTGATTATCAGTCTCAGTTTTGAGCGACTGGTTCTTCTTCTGCAGCATTTGTACATTGAACAACGAGTTGCCATAGTCCGTGCTAGTGGCGACCGGCATCTTCTCGTGGATCCACAGTTTCTCATCCTCGACGTCGCGACGGAACTGGAACGCCTCCTTCTTCTTTGCCAATTGACGCTGGCGATCCAACAACGGTGCCTTCAACTGCTCGAATCGCTGTTCCACAGACTTCTTCTTCTCCTTAATCTCCTCCATCTTATCAGGTACTGTCTTCTGCAAGTACTCCGCTTGAGTCTCCAGCTCAGTCACCTGTTTAGCTTTTACGGCCATCTGAGTCTCAATCAACTGTTGCTTCTGCATTAGAATGTTTACAGATGCTAGATCAGTGCCAGTGTCTGTGTTTTCGATTTGCTTTTCGAGTTCGTTCATCCATGAGTCGATATCGTCGCACGTCTGGTGCAACAGGACCTCGCGGTTGGCGTCGAAGAGACGTTCGCCCTTGTCCTTTGTGGTTGTTTGCAGATTTTCAAATTGATCTCGCAATTCTTGCATCTTTGGTGAGATCACTTGTACAAATTCTGGTTTCTGTCTCATAAGCTCCTCTGCTGCGTTCTGAACGGCAAATAATCTTTCCTTGTTAGCCGCAATCTCAGCCTCAAATGCTTGATGACGGGTCCATTTAGAGTGGATGGTCTTGGCCGAGCGGTAGGTATCATCGAGAGCGGTGACATTTTTCTCCTGCACCCATTCTCCCAATTCGTCGCAGTCCTGGAGGAACTGGTGGAGTTGCAGTTGATCTTGCAGTTTTTCCATTTGTTGCACAGCTTTCTCGCGGTTGGCATTACGCCTACCCTCGATGTTTTCGGCTTTGCGTTGAATCTTGTCGGCGTCGAAGTGCCTTTCTTCTACGAGACGATTGGCGAATTGCACAACAGAGTTGATCTTGTCATCGTTAGCTTCCATAGTTGTAAGGAAGGCCTCGTGTTCCTTGATGAGGTTTTCGGCTTGTTCCAAATTAGTTGGTGGTTCAGTCTTCGCCAATCTATGAAACAAAAATTTAAAATTGTTTAGGCACCTAATTAAAAGTGGAAGTCCAAGTTTGTGACAAACATACAGTCAATGTTAAGGAAGCTTGCAGTATCAAAGGCTACACTCGCGTTTGCCGATTATTGTTAATGAAGTAATTTCGGATCTTTATTTCAGTTATGATCATTTTACTGTTATATACTAAAGATATAAATAAATCCTTCATATATTTATCTATTATATGTTGTACCCAATCAATACTATGTCTCCCAAAGTTACGGTACTCAGTAATTCCATATTTAAATCTTGTGTCCATTATAATTCACCTTTTTTATAGCAAAGGAAACAAACAACCTTGTGGCTTACCTGATGGTAAGAGATTACCAATACCCATGAGTACCCACAATACCAGTAGAATTGTAAGTGCATTGCCAGCCTTTCAAGAAGGAATAAGTTCTTTTCTTGAAAGTTTCAATATCGCATTTGTTCGGAAATACAACTATATGGTGATTTCACAATGTTCGCATGCATATCCATTACTTTACAATAGTGAATCTCATCAGATTGAGTACTATTTAAATCCAGTACAGCAGAACACTAGTTTTCCATAAGAAGTCTAACTTATAACAATGTACAATAGTTATTATAAATAATTTGTAACAGCTTCCTCACCTAAGTTCCTGGTGCGCGAGCAGCACCTCTGCCTGGCGAGCATCACGCTGCAACAGCTGCAGCTCCAGGCTTTGGGCCAGCAGTTGCTGGCGGTTCTCCCACATCTGCTGAAGCTCGGCCCAGCCCTCGCGGAGTGCCTTCAAGCGCTCGCGGAGGAACATGTATTGCGGATCGTCTTGAGTGGATGGTTCCTGCACAATTTTATATTTAACAATTATTATAATTGTGTGGTATTCACATTCAGTACAGAGCAGTTGATACACTTCAAAGTATAATAAATGTCATACAAAGAATAAAAAAAATGTAAGTACGCAAAATATGCATGATATTTTTTAACACCGCCGACGTACAAACTTTTCAATATTAATTAGAAGAATGTGACTGCATAATTAGAACTATTGAAAGATTTGTCACTCACTTTTTCAATTCTTCATAACATACATAGCACATTAACACACAGTCACAGCAATATTTGATTGAAATTGTGGCGAAAAATCAGTAACCTAGATTTGACTGTATAGATTAGGTAATAAACATCTATTTCCAAAAATATTAAGCTTACCGCAGTGATCTTTTCTCCATACTCCATCATCTTCGCATACTCGTCCTTGTAATTGTCGATCTCCTCCTTGATAGTCTGGTGTTGAGACAGCAGTTTCTCCGCCTCCGCCAAGCTCGATGGTGTATCTAAAATTGTAGTATGCCACAAAATATTCAAATCTATACATGTAATTAAAATGTAACTGATCACTGTCTGTACATGGATAATATATTATTATAACTATTAATAATAAATAACCCCTGGAAAATACACAGCGCCATCTAGTCCCACGGTAAGCAGATCTTGTGTTATGGGTGACAACTGATATAAATACTTAGATATATATTTTTTTAAACATAGATAATATACATAAAAAACACTCAAACCGGTACAAAACATGATGAAACCTATTTTCTTATAATTACTACCATTGTACATACCATATTCTGCCTAATAAATAAATAATTATTATATAGATATTCTATAGGATTCAAAATTACAATGTCGTAGACTCTTGGTATTGAATAATTATGTGATATAAATAAATAAAAATGTAGGATATACCTTCGGAGGCGACATCGGTCTGGGTCTTGGTGAGCCAGGCCTGGAAATGATCGACGGAGCGCAGGAAGCGATGAAGATCTCCAGCTTCCTCCAGTTTCGCGTCGCGTTCTTTGAGCTGAAACACATAAATCATTAATACTATGTCTTGCAATTTCAAAATGCGATATGCTTACCATTATGCTTTATGTTATGTACGGACCTAATCTTTTTGCCTTTGTCTGAGAATAACCGAAAGATAAAAACCGTACCATTTGCGTGAGCTGGTCCCAGTTGTCGGTGATGAGGTGCACACGCTCGCGTATGAGCTGCGCCTCCTCGGGGTGCTCCTCCTCGATGGCCTGCGCCTCGTTCTCCAGCGACGAGATGCGCGCCTGGATCGCGGCCAGGTCGCGCTCCATGCCCGACAGGCGGCGCTGCAGCGTCATCACACCTGCCGCCGCCACCGACACATACATATAGCTCTTACATCTTCATCACGCGGGGGGAGGTGTTATGAATACAATAATAAATCGACATTTATGGTTAGGGGTCCCAAATTATAGCTGCGGCTATAACTTTGCAAAATATGACATTACAGTAGGTAAGAGTAGTTTGAGAAATGTGACTTGCTATGTCGTAAGAACGACGGGGGAGAATAAATAAAAAATATATTTCGTGTTTGATGAGTGCTTTTGTAACTCACATAATTTTAACTGACTTTTACTGTTGGGCAGTGACATTATCGTTTTAAGATAATATACATTATTTACTGGGAAGTTAAGGAAATTAATACAACTACATTGACCAAGTTTGTTGAGTACGCTGGTATATATATGTACTTACCGTTGAGATCCATCTCCAGATCTCCGGTTTGCTGCAGGATACGTTTCTTGTCCTCGATCCAGGAGACTGTCTCGCGGCACTCGATGTGGAAAGTCTGCACACCTTGCGCAGACTTCAACTCGTCCTTCTTTTGTTCCGCCTGTAATACATTATCAGTTTAAATACCTATAAAGGATAAAATATATAGAGATAAAAAAACTTCAAAATTTAGTTTGGAGTTATAATGAATATCGTGTTGCATGTGAAATAATATTTATATTAACTAATAATAAATGTAATAGAACTATTCCTTAATACAAGATTTCTGACAAAAACAATTCGAACAATGTTGACAGTAAGTTGATGAGCCTCTGACTTCAATGTAACTTTGTAACAATGTAACTTTCTGTAAAGACTACATGGTTTACGAGATTTCGACATTTTATAAGGTTACAGGAGCATATAGCGAGATTTTTAAATTCCATTTCAATTTTACAGAGATTAGAGACGATAACAATGTCCAGTGACAGTTGAGCCGTGTGTGCGTATAGTTTACCTTGTCGCGGAGGGCGCTCCAGGCCTGGTTGAGGTCGGCCTGCCGGCGCGTGATGTGCGGCGCGTGCGGGTGCTCCACTTGTATGAGTTGCCGCGCCAGCTGGTTCACGACGGCCACGCGGGACGCATTCGCGTTCATCTCCTTGTCGAATCCGTCGTATCTGTATGTTGAAGGTTGAACAATCAATTGTAAGTCACGATGCCGAGTGCGTTTATGACGACTAAAAATCACGGAGATATGAATAATAATATCAATTCTAGAAAACGTCTTTTTTCCTCACTGTTTCATTTCAACTGACCAAATGGTTTAAAATAAATATTATTACTATAGTGGTAAAAAAAATTATGATACATTATTCTCTAATCGATTCTTATGCTGGGAAAAAGAATATCTTTATATATCTTAATTTTATATGTAGAAATTTATATCATTATTTGATCATAATTATATTATAGAATGATCTCTCCTTATTACTGTTTCCATCCCAAACGGAAAACACTATAATAATTAATAATAATAATTTTTCTTTTTGTACGGGCAATCGCACACGCCTGCTTACTGTGCAATACATAATTGAGGTGAAATGTATAGAAGTGAAATTGCATGTATGGGCACATGCAATTTCACTTCTATACATTTTACCTCATTATATTTATTTTAGTAATAAAAATCAGTGTTCGAGTAGCATTCAACCGAGGCGGTTTTATTTAACAAAAACCCCTCATCAATCAATCAATAGCATTATCACGGAACTGTGGGCTTAAACCCCCCAGACTTTTAATTGTTTAAGATTAACATTCAATTCAGATAGTTTTATTTAAAAATATCTCATCCATCAATCCCTATCATCATCAAGGAACTGTGGGCTCGAACCCCCCTAAAGCGTATAACGTGTGTAGTGCGTGCGCCGGTGACCTGTGCTTCATGATCTCGACGTCGTCGATGTCCTTGGGCGGCAGCATGGTGTCGAGCATGCGGTCCTTCTCCGCGATCCACTGGTCGGCCGCGTCTGCGTCGGCGAGCAGCTTGAACAGCGACATGGCGTTGAGGAGGCGGTCGCGGCGCGCGCGCGCGAGCTGCGCCAGCTGCGCGTGCTGCGCGTCCAGCCGCGCCAGCAGCTCGCGCACGCCCGCGCTGCCCGCGTCCTCGGGACTCAGCTCGCCCGCCTGCAGCCACACCACACCTCAATCAAAACTCTGCCCACACACCACTTCACCGACAATTGTTAGCATAACATTTTGTAAATCACGGGATCTCACCACGAGAGCATCTACCCGATGGTAATAAATGCTATGTACCAGCTGCTCTTTAGTTTACCCGTGATCATGACAGTCGAAACACTGCCGAAATATAGGGAACTCGATAAAAATAAAACGTGCTAAGATTCCGTGACTTACTAATTATACGTATAAATAATGGCCGCGTCTTTAAAAAGTTCATATTCTTAGCAGTAATCTCTTCCGATAGATCTACATACGGTCAACAAAAAAAAATCATAGGATAGATATAGTAGGTACTTTGAATCATAAAACATGACAATACCGTCACCTACCGACCTCTCTCTATCTATTCTTTGTTTTTAAAAATTTAAAACAATTACAAAATTTTTAAAAAATTAAATTAACACAGAATTTATTTAGACAGCCTTTTTGCTCTATAAAAAATTTTGTTAATTTAGATTTCTAACTTATTCAAAATTGAATAAAACACAGTAGTTTTAACTAGTTATAAAATCTTATTATAATTTATTCTAACAATTGGTTATCCAACATACCTGTTGTTTGAGCTGCTCTATAATGGTGGCGTAGTTCTTCAGTTCATCGGTCACATCCTTATGCTTCTTCAGTAGACTCTGAACTTGAGCTTCGTCAACACCCGTGTCTTCGGATGATACCAATCTGTATATTTATTAATTAATTAATAACACCATTATATTCTTATCATACGTATAACGCTATACGAATTAACATTAGCTGTTGAGAAAGAGAAAAGAGAGAGAGAAAGCGAGAGAGCTGTTGAGAAAGAGAAAAAGAAGAGAAATCATGGAAAAGCCGTACGTATTAGGCTTGTGTAGTTCGCGAACTAGTTTTGAAGAACACTAACGCTTGTAATTTTTATATATTTCTAATATTTAACTTTTGTTTTACAGTAAACAATTTTAAATTATATTTGGATATTATTATTCTTTATAAAAACACATATGGTAATGGACGTTGAAGAGCGGGATTTACATTGCTATGCTTACTAAGTCATCCCAACACTGAATTAACACAAAATAAACATTATTCTTCAGGTGCCCCGGGCGTCCATAGACTACAGTAACCGTTTACCATCAAATGGGCTATATGTTTATTTGCCATCATACTATATAAAAAAAGAGATTAAGAAATGACCTGCGCGTGTCCATCATCCAGTTCTCGATGTCGCTGGCGTCTGCGAACAGCTGATGGTAGCGGATGGCGGCATCGAGGCGGTTCTTGCGGAGCGCTACCACGTCCAGCAGATGATTCCATTGCGACAGGATGTCGCGCAAGCGTTCCTACAGATACATATACCGATATATTGACGGCCTCAGTGGTCTAGCACTTTAGCACACCGCTTAACTTCCGATGGTCGCGGGTTCGATGCCTCGTACAGTGCAAACATTTGTATTCATAAGTATGAAACAATCATACTTATGAATACAAATGTTTGCACTATCGTATCGGTCTGGGTGTTTTCTATGTATATTTTGTATGTATTTAAAAAAAATCTAAGTATTTATATCAGTTGTCTAATACCCATAAAACAAACTCTGGTTACCGTGGGACTAGATACCTATCGCTGTGTTAATTGTCCAGAGTTATTCATTTATTTATTTATATATATGTGATAATCTATAATTTTATAACTTAGATGTTATGCCTCCGATTCTTGTGATTTCGCTCACACAGCTTTACAAAACAAGCTGCTTGGAGGATGGCTAAAATGGGCGTGACAGAGGTACACTGATATAATATTTTTAATTTTCAAGTAATCTTTTTTGCCACATAAACACTAATTATTATTTTCCTCATCGCCTATAGTGAGCCGAAATATAAATTGGATTATTACAGACGTAAATTTGAAATTAAATTAGTGTTTTTCAATTGTCGGGAACTGTACCTGTATCCTGTCGGCTCCGAAGTGTCCCTGTGATATAAGTTCATCTCCGACGGCGGCAACACTCATCAGCTGCGGCTCGTGAGCTTGCACGTCCGCCTCCAGCGCCTTGTGCTTCGAAATCAGCAGGTACACTGCAAATAATACAACAATTACCATGTTATAATCGGGCACATTGAAAATTATTATACACTTAGTTCTTGGTAACTAATAATAAATATAATTCGGGCAGTTCAGTGGCAAACTAAGGCTAAAGCGGTCCCTAGGCGACATTATAATACCGGGCATATTTTTCAGTTCTAACACATACCCTGCGTTTAGTAGTTTTAAAAATAGAAAATTACGCTCATTCGGAAAGCAGACTCATTACAAAAAGAACGAGGAAGAAACTTGTTTGTTGCTCTTTTAAATAAAAGTAATTATTACAAATTCACACGAAATCTTAAATACCTAATAATTAAAACTGCCAAATAGCAGGATTTGTACGGAAGTAAATAATTATAATAGCAATTTGAGTAATAAAATAAATCAGTCATAGTCAATAGAGCAAACTAACCAGAGAGACAATGCAATATATACGTAAATGTTTATAGTGGATGAAATAAACATATAAATTGTACCAAAAAGGTATTAAAACAAAGTTGTTGCAATATTCAAATTCTCTCATGATTGAACCATCCTCACTACTACAATAGTATCCATACTCACCAGTGCTGAGATCGTGACCAATATCATCCACGGAGACAATCTGTTCCTTCTCCTTGATCCAATTCTCCTCATCGGCCATGTCCCAGTAGAACTGCCACAATTTGCGGCTGTCCTCCAAACGCTTTCTGTTAAATAAAGTAATTAATTATATCATTATCTTTATGAAACCATAGCACATCTTTCACCATTCGTATATTATCAACATTACGTACATTACGTAACACTGGAATGGCAAACAAATGGTCCACCTATATGTAAATGGCAACCATCGCCTATACGTATACATGAAGAGTATGGACATGGACCATGGGCATCATATTATACATTGTCATAACAGAGGTTTAAGATGTTAATGATTCATACTCTATAATTTCACACACATCCCACTCTCTAATCCAATGACAAGCCGTCTTTCGATTAGAGAGTGTACAAAGTATCCTGCTTGGCAATCTATATATGTGATATAGAAGGTAGCCAGACAGATTACTTTGTACAAAGATTACCTCGGTATCTTGTAGTGCACATATTGTTATTTTTAAACTTTCGTGTTTAATATACATTATTTATATTATTAACCGGGTCTTAACACGAAGCTGACTGACCAGCTCGTGACTACGGTTAGTGCAACCTAGTCGAAACGTCGAGAGAGGTAAATACCTTTATTTGCCATAAAATTAGTTCGTGTTAAGACCCGGTTAATAATATAAATAGTGTGCATATTGATTTATTTCTTTAATCATGGAATATGTTTAACGTCATTATTGCATATTGGCTGTAGCATACAACCGTAAAGTTAAATTGACGTAATACATGGCGTATCTCTTATACTTGTATACGTGTGTATGCATGTATGTGCGTGTACCTGCGTTCGACGGCGAGGTGCACGAGCTCCGCGTACGCGTTCTCGAGCTGCTGTATGCGCTCGACGGTGATGGCGGGGTCGCACGGACGGTACCCGCCCTCCTCCTGCTCCAGGAACCGATGCGACTGCCCCACTACCACCTGTTCCATGTACAAAACGCAAAATAAGATCCTATGCTACTTCCCTATTACATTGTTCATAGATTTCTAAGAAACCTTTCATTCGGCTTTTTATATTATATATAACCTGAGAACTATTCACAATAGTACTGATAATATGACAAAAACCTTTTTAATCTGGTCAAAAATAGTCAGACAGTAATTTCGGAGTATAATGTGTCAGTTAAAACAATAACAAATTTATTAATATAATAGAAAGTAATATTATTAATATAATAGAAAATAGAAATAAAATAAAGACGTTCTTATACTGAAATTAGTTGAATATATTTAGTATTGTTTCCTTGTATATGGAATTTCAAATATTTGAGAAATAAAATAAAGAAAATAATAGAATAAACTTGCCTTGACTCGTTCTCCCAGCACGTTGATGTCGGCCTCGACGAGGGCATGTTTCTGTAACAGGTCTTCTACGCCCATCAGGTGCTTGCCGTAATCGTCTGTCAGTAGGCGCAGCTTAATTTCTTCCATAGAATCCAGGATGTATAACATTTCCTGCAATATGGAAAAAATATTACAACAAAACAATACATAAACATATTATATTACAAACAGTTAATACTGAATGAATTCACTGAATTGGTGTCTGTAATGATGGCAAGAATAGATAGAGTCTGATAGTAGACACAGACCTGGAAGTTCTGCTGTAGGTGTAGCGACAGCTCGAGGCGAGCGCGGCGAGCCCGCAGCAGTTCCAGCAGGTAGGCCCACAGGCGCAGCACGTTGTCACGCCGCGCCGACACGCGCTCCAGGTCATGGTACCTGTGACGAGGAGAAATACACTCAACAACAACTACAAGCAGAAAATTACGCACATTAATCGAAAAAAGTCACAAGTCATGTTTGTTTCCATAATGTTTAAAACAGAAATTATGTGTTCACTATTAATGTAATAAATTTTCCCTATCTCTTCATAATTAAGTTGAAAAGAAAAGAGAGAGAGAGTGACAGAGAATACCACATGGCATTCGCTATTTCTAAACTTTTAATGACAAATATAAAATAACAGTTAAAAAGAAATCTATGTGTTTGGACTAAAAAATAAAGAATAAAATATACAATATTTTAAACTAATACAACATATACAGAATCAAAAATCATATTCCAAACAGCAGGTTTTTAATATTATTTTTGTTATCTACTATAAGATGAAAGGCCTTCCATTTTAGGATTTAAGTGTTATTTTACAATAATAAATTTGTTTTCCGTATCTCACGGAGGTAAACGTTCTGTCTTGTATACATCATGGTATACAAGAGCCGTCGCGTTGATGACGACGCACATACATTTTCATCAATGGGGTATAAAAACTAACTATAATTCATACAAATAGGACTCTTCAGTACCTCTGTACTAATAAGCCTATCTAACATTGTACCCCATAAACAAGATAAAAAGTTTCTTGTACATTGACTAATGTTGGATATGAATTAGTCCAAAGATTATATGAAGATAAAATTTATTGAATATATGTAACCTTATTGCATAGTTTCTCTGATAAGATAATTGGTTATTTTTTAATATCGATACGTATTAAATCTTTTATCTTCGAAGAATCAATATACTGCCAAAACTATTAAGTTTATAATTATGCCTGGCAAATAAATACGTGAGACTATCTCTATATAAAATATATACAAAATGTACACAAAATTGCTTAGTTATAAAAATATAAACAAATAGACAGATAGACATTACGCATTTACGTATGTTTTTAATTTGAAAATTATTTAAATTTTCTTAGGCATTACTCCGAGCAAATAAGCAAAAGTGGTAATTGCAGGTCTGATAATAGAGTTTAAAATACATATATTACCTTTCTGCCTGCAGCTCGGAGCAAACTCCCACAACTGCCTGAACGCGTTCCTCATACGCAAAGATGTCAGTTTCAATAGCCTCATGCTTCTTGGCGGCCGCCTCCACCGCTGCCAGGTCGAACCCGAAGTTGTCTTGGCTGACCAGACGCTGGTTCTCAGATAACCATGTCTCTCGCATTTGTGCTTTGCGGTTAAATCTATGAAACAATTAAAAATACAGGTTTAATATTATATTTCTTTAAGGTTTTTAAGGTCAACAGGACAGTAATGTGGAGAATATAGTTAGCCATCAGCGCAGGCTCTGTGGGGCAAAGTGGGGTGCTTGGCCCATCCTGGCTCTGACCTGGAAAGTATCGAACTCTACCTAAAAAATAAATTACGTAAGAACTATGATAATTAATATCCGTAAGAAAGTTCACACTCGACAGTAATGTGGACTAATAACCACATTGTTAGCAACATTCTATGTCAGCTTGATCATCCACTCTGGAAACCATCATGATAAATAAGATGGGCTAACTGACATGACCTCGTACCCATTTTATCATTCTCCACTGGTGCCCCGCCAGCGTAAACTGTTAGCGTAGGTGGGTGCACCATTATCAACCATAAGAAAAAATAAAGTACACAATAGGATATTGACCTGGCTGCGAGTTGTTCCAGCTTCTCCTGTCTGATGAGTTCCTCTCGAAGCGCGAGTTCGCGTTCGTGCTCGGCTTTCTCGAGACGCTCCCAGGCGCGGTTGATGTCGTGTATCATGCGTCCCTCGCGCGGCGTGTATGGCTTCTGGTTGGCGGCGCGCATCCGCGACTGCAGCGTGAACAGCAGCACTTCCAAGTTGCCTTTTTCGATGAACCTGCCAATAAACAATGTGGTTATAATTACATGGAATATTTTTTTTATCTAATTTCACTGGTGTCCCCGCCTTCATAAGCCGGTGGCGATGCGGGTGCAGTATTTAATAATAATCCATAAAAAAATATATAAATAACCCTGGACAATTAACACTGCTCCTTCTAGTCTCACGGTAAGCAGAACCTTTGTTATGGGTAGACAGCCGATATAAATACTTAGATTTCTTTTTCTAAATACATACATAATATACATAGAAAACACCCAGACCAATACAATCATACTCATGAATACAAATGCTTGCAACGTGCGAGGACTCGAATCCGCGACCATCGGAAGTAAAGCTATATGCTAAACCGCTAGACCACCGAGGCCATCAATATATATAAATTCATGCAACACTTACTTAGGTGGTTTCTCGACAGTACGGTAGTTGGCAAACTGAATAAGTTGCTGTCTCACTCCCTCCAATGAGTTGGCGAATGTTCTGTCGCCTAGCGCTTCGATAGTACGCTCGATCCATTGTAGAAGATCGCTGTAACATTATAACTATATTAATATGATTGTGTTGATGTATTTATTTGAAATGTACCACTATCTCTTATCGACAGGATAGGGGGTAGTGTTTTCACCAAACCCGCGGAAGGACTTATTGAGCGGCTGAAGGCCAACTCCTATCTGACGGATACGACTTTAGTCGGAAGGCACCTAAGGCAAGGCTAGGGTTCGAATCTCGACCCAGGCCGACGTCCGTTTAAATTGGATCTCCGTTTAAATTGAACTTGATATTGATATTTATAGACTGAGCCAAAAAGAACTGACAAAACTCTGCCCTCGCTTTTTTCAAATTCCATTACTTCGTTGTAAAAATACATAATTATAAAAACTTAGGATTAATATCGTGACCATCAATATATGCCATTAAATTATATTAATTTTTATTAAATAAAAATAATCAAATGTGCAGATATAACTTGATAAGGCCAGTTAACAAACAACTCATGATAGAACTGACCTTGTAAGCGATTCGTATTCGTGCATCATCTTGTCGTTCTCCATGGCTATGCCGACCACCTTGCCGATCCTCTTGCCCTGCACCGTCTCCTGCTTCAGCTTGCTGAAGTAGTGATAGTATGTCACGACGTATGTAATGATCGACTTCTCATCTGGGTGCTCGACAGCGATGTCTAAAAAAGAAAACAAAATAAATATCAGCACATTTATATTGTAAATTCGAGGTATATGATTAGATTTACACATAATCATTCACCTGAAATCACACTGAAATACTACTGGTCTGGACCATAATCAAATCAATATAGGACCGCATGCGAACCGCTTTAAAAAAGATATAATTCAAAATAGCTTCCATTAGAAAAAAGTCAGATATAACGAAAAAATTCAGAATAATTTTTTTAAGATGGTTGAAAAGGAAAAATGTTAACAGTAAAGATATTGTTATTAAAGATACATTTAGACATTTATTTTTTTATATATTTTATCGAATTAGGTGTTATTTTGCTGTATTCCATTTCATTACATAATGGATTGTCATTATTTTGTTTAAATTCGCTACCATTAGCATCTGTGAGACCATAAATATTCAGTGCGGAAACCTGACCACATTTACGAGAGTTAGCCTTCAGCCGCTCTGTAAGTCTTTCCGCGAGTTTGCAGTGCCATCTGCACTTGCCCCCTATCGTTCTGTAATGCTGTAAAGGCCAGCTACGACCAACAGCATTAGAATAGTTGTTAAAAAAAGATTGCGTTAGTGGAAGCGTTACGACCTTCTCTATATTTTTTATTTTATCAAGTCACTTGTCTTACCTTCAGCATCGAGCAGTTTAGTTAGCCCAAGCTTGTCCTCGGCCACATTGAAGGCATTATTCAAGTTATGCATCGAGTTATTTCTATGTAGTTTCTCAAACTGTATCAAGTCTGGTCGATGTTTGTGTATAATCGCGTTGAACGCCAACCCGTCTCGCCAGGAGGTCGTGAAGTTACGTACATTGACGTTGTTATAACCGGCTGTCTTCATTTGACACCATAATAGCAATGCATCCTTTGCTGATTTTGTCTCTTTATTATCCGTCTCTTCAATTGTGATATCTTGGATCTGTAATATTATGTATAATAAGAATATTTAAATGTTAATAGCACTGCAAAGATTAATAATTTAAAAACTATAAATGTTTTTAAGACATCCATTGATCTACTTTATGAACCCTAAACACATGACATTTTAGTGACCATTATTAACTCTTTTCTTTATGAGAGCTACTCTTTACAGGGTTGAATAGAACAGAAAAACATATTACGCCGACCCCAAATAAATAGGATAAGGAAGAAGCAGATGATGATGAACTCTTTATGAGAGAAATGCCATATGTTTTGTATCACATTTGTTCCAGAGTAGTTAACAATAAAAAAATAAGAATATACTGATATATATTGCCATTTTTTGGCAGATATTAGTAGTAACCCCATATGTCAGGTCGACTTGCAAGTGGTCCTCCCTGTAAACCATCATGGTTTATTCATAGTGAGTTTGTCACCATGGGCTAACTGTCTTGACCTTACGCTCATCTTATCATCATCTACTTATGCCGCGCTAGTATATACAGTTAGCCCAGCGAATGTACCATGCCATTATCATTATTAAAAAAACACGCAAGTATTACTATTCTTTAGGACTGATGAAGATGTATAATTTACCTGGAAGCGAAGGATAATCGTCCAGATGAGACCGAGGTTGAGTCTCGGGTTACCGTCGACGATGTCGTGTGATCCCATATTCTCCAAGTGCACGCGTTGGTCCCTCAGGAACTGCAACGCTTTGTCAACATTTTCCAGGCAATGAATTCGCATCTTGCCTTTGGTCGGGCGAGGCTATAAACAAAATATACATAATTATTATATCGCAATTTTGCCTATAAATATTATTGAAGGAAAGTCGCTGTGGGAAGTTAGTGCTATTATAGGGACCATGTTTACCCTCGGTTTTCCCTTTTTTTTATATTACGAGTTTGGCAAACAAGCATACGGTCCATCTGATGGTATATTGTTACTGTAGACTATGAACCATCCATGATGTTACCATCGCGGTTAATACGTGTTGAATTTGTAGTGATGGGCGAACTGATTATGATCTGATAATAATGGCTCACAACACTGTCAGTGCCCGTTACCACAGGCGGGTACATCATTCCATGCAATCCATTAAAAAAGTAACTATTTTGTCCTGAAGTTGATTCGCTTACTTCTTCTGAACCACAAACGGATTTTGATATATTTTTAAGTACATCGGAAAAAATAAAAAAAATATATATATACAGCTATTCCGACCTATATATGTATTATAGATCTATGCGAAGCGTACGGCTTCGTGGGTGGTTTCATATATAAATTTAATGTAACAAATACTAACAAATTACTAGTCGGTCAAAAAGTAATATTCGATATAAATGAAAAACTATTGTCGAATACATGTAATACTCTACTTTTGGTTACACTTTTGAGTGTCAGGATAATTTATATAGTTTTAAATGTATGAAGCATAAGTGTAATAATTTGTATAAACATATTAGTGGTCTATAAAACATAGCTATTGCTACAATGTTACTCCGTGTTAACATCACTTGCCCTAATTTCTGTTGGTGTTCGACTAATTTTAACATCTGAACCGCCTTGAATACTTAGTAAGTGTTCTAGACAAACGCACCAACGGGAAGTTATGCAATAAGAGGTATGCGATGCCGTTTTTATCAATGAAGATCTTACACCAAAAATATTTTATTAATTTTCTACTGGGTTTAAGTTTCGATGGATTTATAATATATGATTAAAGTTGTGAACAAAAGGTTTTGCTTATAGGTTTCATTCATTCATAATTTAAGAGCCATGCTCTTGTCGGTGGAGCTCTTGCCATTTTCCACGATACCAACTTTTTCGTTGATCTTAGTATTGGTATTGGTATCATTATATACCTATAACTTTGTCTTGGTCAAAGTTATAGGAATACAATGATACCAATATTTAGCAGGATAACGAAATTAAGATATCATACATATATATGTATATGCTATAATACCACAGTCTTCTTATTGTTATACTCGTATATACCTAAATTGTAGTGTGTATTATTTAAATTACTTATCACTAATTATAATGCGTAATAAGCCGATTATGGAAGCCATATTCGAATTTAGTTTCAATGTTGTTAGTTGCCAGAGTGCCATCGACATCGAATCCTAATTCTTAAAATAATAAAGTCTCATCCACAAACTTTAAACATATTTTTTACAGTAACAATAGGCAAGTATCTTTCTCGTTCTTCTTGTCTTGAATTTACATTCTAATTTGATGGTACAATAAAAAGACTATTTAAAATTACTTATCTTTACATATTATAAAACAAAGTTGCCGACGCTGTCTGTACTCTTCAACCTTTAAAATTACGTAATTGGTTTTAATGCCGTTTTCAGCAACAGATAGAGTGGTTTAATAGGAAGGTTTACACGGATATTATAATACAGAATAATCGAAAAATTCTAGCATTTGTAATGCACGCATCGAGCAGGCTCGAGTCGTAGGTATTGAATATAAAATGTATATTTGTCTCACCAATCTCTCTCCGGAGAGCACCTCGAGGAGCTTGATCAGCATTTTCCCATCCCTCATGTCCACGTAAAGGTCGCCGATGCGGCAACCCACACGCACCAGGTGTGAGTTTACCCATTTCTGGAAAGTCTTCTTCTGTACACTTTCTCGTTCGTCTGAAATCAAATCATACTTTTAATAATACATCTATCTTCATACTACACAAAGAGTTGGAGCTGAAAATCAGCGCTGTTCAGCGTACGTACGTAAACGTTACGCTCACAGCATCGGCTGAGTCAGCCTCTTTTTCCCAAAATACGCAGTATGAGGTACTACTGTTGCTATTTTATACGTGGTTTAAGTGAATTTTTTTATATAGTTTTTGTTCAACAAACGGTGTACGAAATCAAATGTATATGTGTTTTTTGTTCTGGCAATAAATATTATTATTACGTATTATTATCTAAATCAAATAATCTAAAATATAATCGTGAAAGGGACATATAGAGATGTTTAGGGGAGGCCTGCGCTGTAGAGACGAAAAGAGTTGGAACTGATCTTGATCCTAATAAGGGCGCGTGAAATGGGACATATAGGGATATTTAAGATGACCTGCACCATAGAGACGAATATTACCGAAACTGCGTTTAACTTAAACGTACTTGCTTACACTTAAATAACGAATTAATTGAATAGGCAAAAAGTAATAAGATTAGGTAATAGAAAGTAAATTCAACAGGAAGGTAGCATAAATCTCTTTTTTATTTTATTTATCTTATTACATATCTTCACGCCAGGTCATTTACGGGGTAGACAGAAAGATACAACGATTAAAGAATTTTCTCTACTATATATTTCGACTAATTAATAATAATTGATTTGCCATTTATTTTTAATACTTATTAAAAATAAATGCAAGCAAAAATCAATCGTGTAGTTACGTACAATAAATTAATAAATAAGTCTACATCATCATAAAAAATCTATCAATCATGAAAAACAGCAACGGACCTGGTTGTGACAGTAAGAAATTTACATAATAAATGTGCATTTTAAAAAATAACGATTAGAAAACTTAATAGAAAAGGGATTGTTAACACATTAACCGCCAGTGTGGACGACCACGGCGCGGGGACCAGATGGGCGGCTTCGAGGCTGCACTGATTAGTGGTGGATCCTTGCAGCCGTCCGCAGTGATCAGTGCCATCGCAACAACTCCCACACAATGCAACCCTTGGTGTTGATTTTCCGAAACTAATATAATGCAATTTGATCCGCGTATCGGATTGCTGTTCGCATGCTATGGAGCGGAACGCTTAGTGGTGCTGGATGCAAGAGGTAAACTATTAAAGAATTAATAATTTTAAAATTATTATTATTTGTTCCATAGCATATAAATAGCATCCTGGATCAAACAGTACAGGAAAAATAGTTATACAATTTAAATAGTTGTAATTTTACTTTACCTAACAAATTGATCGCTAAAACTAAACTGTTTTTTTTTGCGTCTAAATCATAGATAGAGACAGAAATACTATATCAAAAATTCTCAATTTATTTAAAAATAAATACATATCTTCTATGACATTACTTCTTACTAATTGACAGTAAAATATCTCCTGCAATTAAATACTAAATATACAACGTTATTGTAAAACCTATTCAGATTAAATTTTATGAAGGAATATTGACCCGAAATTTAATCATGGCAATTTACACTAAAAGTAATTTAGATACATACAATAGAAGCAGATATGACATTAAGATCTAGTACATAAATGTGAATTTCTAACAACATGAGAACTGTTTTCTCAAGAGTATACCAATACGGTTTTCCAGATTATATTAAAGCCATCATGTATAAAAAAATAGGCAATGGAACGTTTTGAACCATACATTACACCTTTAGAAACCAACAAGTCTTTAAAACTCAAGCACGTACGTGATTGTTTGTATAAGATAACAACAATTTACAATAACGAGAACGATGCTAAAAACGTGTAAAATTGTAGGTCACATGTAACAATGAGCATCGCACTATCTTATCACGACACTACGAACCTCTGAGCTCAACTACGACCTTGTCATAGTACGCTTCCAAGCCGGGCACTTGGCTGTTAACACCTCTCTTGATCAGATCGTAGCACTCTGCGGATGTCATGTCACCAATATCGACTGGCGACTGACTGATCCGCCTCACAGGCGAAAGAACGGGAACAATTAGAGCGACAAAATACAAACTGGCCCGCAGAACAAGGATATTCGATACTAACTCCAGGTGTCGACAACTCTAGAACCGGACTATGTAATTATATTGACAAATTATTTCGCTTGCACATGGAATAAAATTTACTTGCTTGGAGTGCGAATATATAACTTTCGGAGGCGTCATACACGGAGGTTAGTAAACACGAGATTAAACGAAGGTTTAAATCGAGATATCAATACAGTTACAACATCACTGATAAAAAGAACTATGTAAGATTTTACGTCTGGACAAAACTGAACAACGTTGATACTGTAGTGATCGTGCCAAATGTTTACAATCCCATTGATATAGGAAAACGGAAAACCAACGAGTGATAAAATACATTAATGTAAATTGTAATGTTGTCATATAAAAACATTAATTACGTATTACTAATAGATAGTGAAATAGAGAAACGTTTAAATTTTTGAATTTGAAACGAATACCAATTTTAAAATCAGTGAAATATTTATAAAACTAAATATTTTCCATAGAAGGTAAGGTAAAATGAAAATAATTTTTCAAACCCTCATACAAACTGCAAAGTGACGTCATCAATATATTATGAAATAAACTTTTTATTCTCCGATTTCCATATTGCTTCTTAGCAAAATTCGTTACGTTACGGGACGATCCTCAGGTAAAATTGCTCATAAACGCGCTCAAATTTAATAGTAAAAAAAAACTATACACAAAACACTGTGACTTTATAAAAGTGGACGGTTTTTAAAATAACCAATGCAGAAAAAAAAATACTATCTTCAATACGTGCGGTATAAAGTTAAAGTTAGAAAAATATAATAGGCAAAAAAATAAAAATAAAATTTATAAAAAGATTCTTTATTATTTAAATAATTCTTCTACTATTAACAATTTTTTATTATAGCATTACTTGGTAATTAACGAAAAATATTATAATTTCTCGTACACTTTTAAGTCATAGTCCGCCTTACTCGCGATAACAAAAACGTTTTGTAGGTATTTAGATATATGTATAAAGCACGGGGAAGTACCTATATAGGTAGAAGGCGTACTGTTTACTACATTTCAAAAGAAAATTCAGGTTGTAATTGAAGTTAGACTACGTACTTCTACAATACTTTATATAGCGAGTTATACCCTAATTTTCTTCGAAAAGCAAACCATATCCCTAGGTTAATAATAAATTTTAGACTAAAGTAGTCAACCGTCATAATTCCCAGGACATGTTCTAGTTTTGTAGTGACCTGAGACGTCCTGAATAGGTAACTAGAAGAGTCCCGGGTTTTAGAATTTTAAAATTCGTTTTATTTTATTTGTATTTTAAAATCATAAATATATAATTTTATCAAATACTTTTATTAAAAATATGATTATTTTAATTACTTCAATTTCATGTCTATTTTCATTACATATTAATTTAACAGGACAAAAATGACGCAGTAACAGAGTTTATAGCAACTCTGTTACTGCGTCATTTTTAAACTGAATTGTCCTGATGTGTCCAACTTCAAATCTTTGTTTTTAATTTAGGGTTCGCAACCCACGGTGACCTAAACTCGCGGAAACCTCGATGTGTTATAACCTCGAGGTTTTAGTGGATGAGAATCCTACAGTATCCGTCCGTCCATAATTTGACTAGGATAGTTTAGATTGTTTTATTACCTACGACGAAACCCGCAGAGCCACCGCCGTCGGAGTCACGGAGGACTGACATGAATACCGCGACTCCGGGACATGGCGTTGGATGAGGGACATCTTGAAGTTTTTAGTGAGTATGAGTCTCGCAGTACCCGCTTGCCTCCCCCGTAGCGGGTATCCATAGGAGATTTTCTCCAATTCAAAAAAAGGTATTGTTGTATTACCTGCTAACGCTTTGATGCGCGATCGTTCGAATAGCCTCGACGACGAATTGCCGCCATCGTATTCGAAGTCATCAATGATCTCCTGTCCGTGGCCGATGGACGGGTCCCAGCGGGACACCGAGATGTCGGTCGTCATGGCGACCAACCAACCTCACCACGCCACACTCAAATATCTGAAAGCAACGGAAAAACAGTCATTAGTTACCGTTTCCTCTCTACTACTTCTAATGGCTGGCTCATCCGTTATACTTGTAGGGACTGGTTTGCTCTGATCACTCGTTGTTTCATTTTGTGATTCCAGTAACTATTATAATTACTTATTTATATTTATTTTACTCCTTTGAATTGGTTCTATTTAGTATTTAGTAATCCAACATTTAAAAAAAACAACAGGCAAGTTTCTTTGTCATTTTCCTTGCTCTTGCTAGCATACATTGATTAGGTCGTACAAAAAAAATTACTACAAAAATGTTTCGTGCTTTACCAGTTCAAGTAATCGTAATGAAATTTAGCACGTACTAGTCATAATAAGTACCCGGTACCTTTAGTAACTTAGTAAGCGGATGAAGTCTGCAAATAAATGTACACCCAACATGCTCGTATTTATTCCACCAATAAAACCTGCCTTCATCGAGAAGACAAAACTACTCGACAAAATCGGAGTTTAATTGACCAAGACACAAGTATTCAATACGATTATTTGTATCGTATTGTATGTATATTATGTATTTACAAAATGTATCTATGTATTTAAATCCGTTATCTAGGATACATAAACACAAGCTGTGCTAATCATTGGGACTATATAGATTTGTATGAATTGTCCAGAGACGTTATTTTTTTAATATCTATTTAATACTATCTATAAAAATTAATTTAAAAAAAATTGTAACATTATAATTGTGAAAGTAAAATAATTTATGTTCAGCAGTGAATGCTAGAATTGCCACATAGATCATGTCCTAAATTAACTCATAGATTTAATTAAATTTATTAACTAAATTTATGTTGTTTAGTTGAAGGGTGTTAGTTATTGTTTATTTCAATAAATAATAACTGTGTTATTTATTGTACTTAACTAGTTATGTGTATTTAACTGTCTTCTGTATTTGTTTTGTTTATTTCCCCCTATGTTGTATAATGTCAATAAAGCAGACTGATTCATTCATTAGACAGGACTTCCGTTATTCTGGGAAGAGGATTTGGAATATATTTTTGGGAAGACATTAACTTGCATGCGACAAATAATATAGATTTTCAATTATGCATATTTTATTACACAAATAAGAATAAAACTTTAAATGTTACTTTATTTTTAATTATCATTACTACACACTTGCTTTCTTATTATTTTCTATTTATTATTTGGTATTAGGTTTTCAATTACGATTAAGAAAAATAACATAATATATACAAAACAGAAAGAATACATAAGTGTATTCTTAATCGTAATTGAAAACCTAATAACAACTAACTGTGCTGAGTACAACAGACATGTATTATAGTTAAATTGCCCGGTTACGCCCTTAATGGCATCATCAGTGTAAATTTATAAACAATTTAGGTTTTATCAATGATAAGTGATTAAACTATATATTATAGCATGCGTACATGTATATAAAAAAAAATAAGTATCATTTGTTACAGATACAGTACAGCTGCTTAGTTTTGAACTAGATATTTTATTTTTAAGTTCTCTCAAAAAATCTGTTATTAGCTCTCTGTAGAAATATACTACAGAAAAATTATATATAATAGTAGTTTAATGTATTGGATTGTAAGCTGTTGGTTTTCTAATAATCTTGCTGTGTGACAACCTAGGACACTTTCTAGATTAGAAAACGGCATTTATAGTGTAACGAATTTTCACTATAATGACATAGACCTAAAATTCAACAGCAATACTGTATTGTCGCAAGATATGAATCGAAAGCAATATAAATTTGATTAGGTCATATTAATTAAGTATTTACCTTGGATTATAAACAATAACAACCAGTTATAAATGGGACGGAACATCGATTATGAATTACACTTGGTCACAATTTCCACAAAACTGCACTAACAATAAAATAACTAATGCTTATGTTTCCGAGTTACAGTCTGAATTTGATAAGATAAGATACGAAAGTAAAGTTAGTTATCGGCGCACCTTAATGAAATAGATCGTTTTGCAGTAAAACTATGCAGGTAAAATTATGAGAATGTTTTAGTAAAACTTTCACTTTTTTACTAATCATAATAGCAAATAAACTGACGGTCCTCAGATGGCCTGGTGGTAATTTGTCAATTTGTGTTTGATACCCTGGCCATCCAACCTATCATGGTTAAATTAATCGTGTGTTGTTTGAAGGAATAGTCAACATCATGAGGCGAGTGATAAAATCAAAAAGAAATAAGAATAATAATAATATTAAGAAGCTTAGATAATGCACAGTGTCATCTAGTTCCAAGCTAAACAGAGCCTGTTATGGGTATTAAACAACTGATAAAATAGCAAAATATATTTTTATGTGAATACATAATACAAATACATATCGATTAATGCACCGAGTTTGTCATTATATGTAAAGACAGAAGTTAATGGCACGCCGTTCTATCCCCCTACCCCTGGTGTGAAGTAAAATAAAAATTATTCGTTATGATGGTTAGTTACAAATTTACGACGGCCCATATTACATTTGTAACTTGGTTTTCTTTGAACGGCCCAAACCCACATCTTATGATCTCATTTACTCTAATAGACGATGCTAAAAATATATTCTCATACTCGTTTATGATTGCTAAGTTAAATACATATTACGTGGGCACATATACATAAACGTAATACTGTAAAGTCAAGTTTAATCCACAAAAAAACTTTTTTAAACAATAAACTAAGATGATAATGTTGTTATGATAGTTACCTAACTGTTATATTTACTAAACTGATAATGCACCGCCGTCTTAAATCACTATTTGTTCTGTGCTAAAATTAAAGAAAAATATTACTTTTCAAACTCCACCGCATGCAATTATTTTCTTATGTAATTGGAATGGCGAACGAAAGCGACAGTTACCACTTACCATCAGGTGGACAATCAGTTACTTTGCTATTCCATTATAACTATGTTGTATTTAGGTCGAGTAAATACGCAAGATATAGCTACATACTGTTCAGATAACGATATGACTCATCTAGAGGTCAGATAATAATTAATTTAACCCTTCCTTCATACGCTCCTCATAGCAATTAGAAGTATTAACGCCACTGTGCGTTAATATGTTTTATAGCTGCTCTGAAATTAAGACATTGAATAAAACATTACAGAGACGATGCGAAGAGGCTTTCGAATGCGTTACAAATTGATAATACGCCCACTAGTAGCAATTAAATAATTAAATTACATATATATAAAGCATTATATTGTATTAGAAGTAGATACAGGAAAAAAGAAACAAAAGATTATAAAAAGTAACACGTGCAAAAGGCGGTCTTACCGGAAACGCAATATCTTACAACCTCAGAAGAAAGAGTATTACTAAAAATAAAGTAGGCTGCAAATAAATTAACAAACAAAATACTAAAAGTGTTTTATATGTTTACTTAGCCCGAATTTTTTGGATGTAAGTAAAAATAGTCTATCTAGAAGGAAAGAGACGAAACCTTTGATTGTAGCTTGAAGTCGTTTGTCGTTTTCATGAACAATACAGTATAGTCGCTAGTGTCTAATTTAGATTCGGTTTGTATAGATAATACGATGCCGCAATAGGTACCTAACCGTTCGGCAGTGACGACCTTCTACTGTGACAGCTATTGTGCCAATAGCCCCGCTTGATGAAGGTTATATCTCTAATAGACTTGGTAACTATGGTGGAAAACCATTATCTAATATAACCATTCATACGATTTAACTATGTGAATCGAATATAGCTCCTGAATATTTTACACATCTACTTACTAAGAGACGAATATGTTTTTAGGTATAAGTCTTTCTGGCTTCTTCCCGATCTTAGATGCAACGTTAAGTGTTGCTTCATTAATTTTAGTATGCATGCAAAGTAGAGAAACTAAGCATAAATATATAATATCTGTGCAAAAGAAAGAAAACTTAAAACACCACCCCAACACCAAAAGACCTGCTTAGTTTGGCAATTATAGTTAAAGTCATTTGCTATTTTTCATTTTATGTAACTGTGACCCATATCCAGCAGTGAGACCATTATAGATGACGATTCATTGCTGGGCAGTTAAACTTACCTATTTAATTTTGCAACATTATTAACATTGTAATCATATATTCTAAACTCTATCTCGTGTGAAATCTTAACGCAATTCATCTTAAATTCTAGATCACCGACTTCTGATAACAATCTAGATAATTAACAACAGGCTCAGTAATAGGATCTTCTCTGAGAGTATGTACTCATTAGGCAGCTGCATCTGATACAAGTTACAACATCGTACTAATTGAGAAAAATATTAATTACGTGGAATTTGTTATCTGAGTCTCGAGTCAAAAAACTGTTATAACAACGGTTTTCTGATGAAGATGAACGTTGCATAATATAAATATAGTTCATAAATATACTCATTAAGTAATTATGTTTTATGAATGATTAACAGTCTATTAAATGGTTTGTCTCTACTTAACGCTACACTACGAGATCAAATAACTTAATGGGTATTTTTGTGACGAACATTGGAATCACTATGATAAATTCCTTGAAAAGTCAGTTATTTTATAAAAGACAAAAGAATGAGATAGCTTGTAAATTTGGAAGTAGAATAAAATCTATTAAAAAAATCAATCAACACTGCTATGAAAATCTTAAAGATTTAAGGAAAAATTTTCCTTAAGGTTCTCAATTTTATATGGTACAAGAAATATATCTATACTTTTGGGAAGCTTATACATTTAACACTCAAGAATTGAAAGTGGAACCTAATGTATCAAGAAAATCGATCAACATTACCATAGCTTTACATTGAAAAACATTTAAAAATTGAAGAATACATTTTACTATTCAGATTTTCTCAATTTTGAATGTTACAAGAAATATAGCGGGAGATATCCATACTTTCCATCACGTAATCAAATGCGTCACGTCATGCATGATTGTTCCCGATAGATGGACCAGTACAGAATGGAAAGTCAAACATGTATACATAATGATTTACAAAATCAATAAA